TAAAAGGTAGTAATTATATTAAGCTTAGTAAACTATTTCGCCTTCGAAATCCGCTATAGTATCTTATTTATTAGAGGAAGGGGGTATCTATCCTTCCGGGTAATTTTATTTAGGCCCCTATAGTTAATATAGAACCTTAGTCCTCCTCCTAGCTTCTTAGTAAATAATATAGGGGCGGCCGCAGATAAGTTACTTACGCGGATAAACCCTTTCTCTAATAGTTCTATAAGGGTTTTCAGTTTCTAAAGTACTAATAGCTCGCCTCTAGATATATTATAGAGGGGGCCCTAGAGGATCTTTAGCTTATTTCCCCGTTTATTTTATTCGACTAGCTTAATCTCGTAATCGATACCTAGTCTATATAGAGATAGCGTTTCTACTACCTTCTAGTCGAATATATCTAAGTACTTATAATACTACGGCGGTAGCTTCGTTCTAGAATCCGTCTATAGCTTTACCTTTAGAGCCTTCTCGATATCTACTATACTCGCTACGAATATTTCGATAGAAGCTATCTAGTAAAGACTTCTATAAATAGGCTCTATTATTACCTATACGTATAGCGTACTCTATATAGTGGGCTTAATAGGGGCCGTCTAGTGATAATATCGCTAGATCGGTCTTATTAGTACTTATATACCTTATCCTATAGACTCGCTAGAAGCCGTCTAGTAATAATATCGCTAGACCAGCCTTATTAGTACTTATATACCTTGTCCTATAGACTTACTAGGAGCTATCTAGTAAGGTCTTCGCTAGATAGATTCTAACGTTATTTATAGACGGTACTCTACCTCCTACTTATCGAGGTCTCCCTTTTGCGCCTTCTCCCTCCTTACTCTCCTATATAAGTAGCTAAAGGCTACGGCTAAAATTTCCTTTATATCTATTTTCCTCTATATATCCCCTACCTCTACTCTAACCCCTATCCGATTAAAAACTAATATCCTTATCTATTTTTCTAATAAGGCGTTCTAATCTACTATTTAACCTCTTTCTAATATAATATTATACCCTACTACCCGCGGTAGGATATATATAAATATATACTTCTATTAGTTATCTATAATATCTAGAGTTATATACTCTACTTCTATTATCGTCTTACTTATTGGTCTATTTATACCGGAGAGTATATATAGTATAATTAGAATATACTTAATACACTACTTCCTAGTAAAGGCTAATATTATTACTCTATAGGCTCTATAGCTAGTATCTATTATAGTTCTAGCTATAGCGGTTTAATTTACTATAGTATCTATAACGATATATAGACTTTCTATCTTTCCTTTCTAGAACCTTTATTATTCTTATAGTATATCTTCTCGGGGCTCCTATATACGCTTTAATATAGGAGCTAGTCTTTTCTTTAGTTCGAGTAGTTAGCGTCCTTCTTCTCTTCTAGATCTAGTAGTAGTCCTAACACCGCCGGGGTTATATCTATAATCTATATTATTGGGCGTAGTAGCAAATAATGGTAAGCTACGACGAAGTAGTCTACGCCTCCGTAGTATAGGTATCTATAGCCCTACCTACGCTTTTCCCTCTCTTTAGGCGACGCCTACTTAGCACGGCGAGCTAGCTTCTAGACGGTACTATTAATATCTATAGAGTCCCCTCGTAGACTGGGGCCGAGTCCGGGTTTTTTACCCGGACCGGCCCGGTCCGACCCGGCCGGGTCGAGTCGGTATTAGGCTTTTTTTAGACTCGGTCCGACCCGGCGAGCCGGGTTAAGGCTTAGAACCCGGCCCGTCGAGTCGGGTTGAGGCTTAAAATATTCTAACTCTCTGAATAGAGAAGCTAAGTAAATAACAATAGAATCTTTAGAAAGCTCTATTAATTCTCTATTAAATAAGGTTATTAGTAGTTTAATACTATTTAAATTAAGCTCTCTAGCTAAATTTTAAAGAAAGTATACTATTTTTAGAACTATATCTTAATATGAAGCTAAAGCCTCTAATACTAATAATTTTAAAAGGTAAATAGCCTTATTTTATAGAGAATTAATAGAGCGTTTAAATAATAATATTTTTATTCGCCTAGCCTTCCTATTTAGGAAGATATTACTATTAGTAATAGAAAGTTAAAAACCCGGGTTTTTTGCCCGACTCGACGCGGTCCGGCCCGGCCCGACCCGTGCTAAGAATTTATTAGTACCGACCCGATCGGGTCGGTAGTTTAAAGGCCAAAACCCGGCCCGACCCGGTACCGACCCCAGTCTACTAGAGAATAGGAAACTAGGAGTAGGAGTCTATAACTTTAGAATATCTGAATATTACTTCTAGAACCTAGGCTCTAATCTAGAAGTCTTTAATATAGAGCTCTTTGCTATATAATAGACCTTTATAATAGGCCTAAAAATAATAAAATAAAAGGAATCTAGAATAGACCCTCTCTTTATCTACTCTTCTAATAAAGAATTCTAGCTATTTATAGATAGCTAGGCAGCTATTAAAAGGCTCTATAAATCAGCTCTAGAGCTAGGAGAAATATATATTCCGAAAATTAGGAGAATAGCCCAAGAACTAAAGGGAAAGGGTTATAAAATTAAAATAGCGTGGGTCCTGGCCTATCTAAATATCCTAGAAAATAAGAGGGCAGATCTTGCTACGAAACTAGGGGCTAGAGCTAGTAGAACCTTAGATTCTAAGAAATATACCTCTCTAGTAAATATTAAGAGACGTATTAAGGAACTAGCTCTAGAAGAATAGAACTAAAGCCTAGAGGTAAAGAAAGAAAGAAGTCTAGAAAAAGACTATCTATACTTTTAAACTACCCCTAAATAGTAAGCTTCTAAAGACTAATGGCCTAAGGGCCTATAGGCAACTAGATACTAACTAAAACTAGGCTATAGATACTTTAGATTCTACCTTAGAAGGCTTCCTAACTATAATAGCCAAGCCTATTAATCCTATCTAGGAAATTAAAAAGAGAATTCTAGTTATCTACTTCTTATATGCCCGGCGTATAAAGAAGCTAGAAATAGAATTAAAAAGTAGAAGAAAATTTAGACTTAGAATCTAAAGTCTATCTTCTAAACTACTAAAGGAAAAGAATAGCTCCTAAGCTTTTTAAAAGAAATAAAAATAGCTACTAGAAAGTAGTTATTAGGCGAAATATAGAGCTATCTAATAGCCCTAAATATACTTTCTTTATTTTATTTATTTCCTATTTTAATATTCTTTCTTTTACTCTCTTTATTTCTTATTTTACTTAAACCCGATCTCTAATATCTCTCCTATTATAACTATTAACTCTCTATAAAAGAGGTTAATTAATATATTTAAATTGTTTATCTATAATAGATAATAGGACAAGGCCCCTAATATTGAAATCCAGCTATAGATAGCTAATTTAGACTAGTTTAGGTAGTGAACTCCTTATAGTCTTTGACTATATAGGAGTATAATGAAGAATAATAATAATAATAATAATAATAATAATATATCTAATATAACTAATATAACTAGTATAACTAATAAAACTAATATAATAATATATTTTATAATATTAACGGCTAAAGAGAGTTCTATTTAACTAATTAAGGGTATCTATAAGTCGAAGTCTCGAAGATAAAATATATAGGGAAAAAGAAGAAAGTAGAAAAGGAAGGAAGTTAGTAATAGAGTAGACTAGGGCCGAGTCCGGGTTTTTTACCCGGACCGGCCCAGTCCGACCCAGCCGGGTCGAGTCGGTATTAGGCTTTTTTTAGACCCAGTCCGACCCGGCGAGCCGGGTTAAGGCTTAGAACCCGGCCCGTCGAGTCGGGTTGAGGCTTAAAATATTCTAACTCTCTAAATACGGAAGCTAAGTAAATAAGAATAGAATCTTTAGAAAGCTCTATTAATTCTCTATTAAATAAGGTTATTAGTAGTTTAATACTATTTAAATTAAGCTCTCTAGCTAAATTTTAAAGAAAGTATACTATTTTTAAAACTATATCTTAATATGAAGCTAGAGCCTCTAATACTAATAATTTTAAAATATAAATAGCCTTATTTTATAGAGAATTAATAGAGCTTTTAAATAATAATATTTTTATTTATCTAGCCTTCCTATTTAGGAAGATATTACTATTAGTAATAGAAAGTTAAAAACCCGGGTTTTTTACCCGACTCGACGCGGTCCAGCCTAGCCCGATCTATACTAAGAATTTATTAGTACCGACCCGATTAGGTCGGTAGTTTAAAGGCCAAAACCCGGCCCAACCCGGTATCGACCCCAGTTTATAATAGAGGATAGAGCTATAGCTCTAGGCGTTAAGGTTATATAACTATATTAAGAGTTATGTACGCGAGAGTAAAAAGGGGAAGTCTGGTAATAGTATCTCTAGATAGGCCTTACTACCTCGTCGATTATAGAGCGCGCGGTGACTCGAGAAGGGAATAAAGGTCCAACCCCTTACAACTTCCTTCCTTTTTTCTTTCTCTTTTTTCTCTATATATTTTATCTTTAGATCTTAAGCCTTCTAGCTAGTTAAATAGAACTACGTCTGGCCTATAATATTATATAAGTAAGACTTAGTAAAGAAAATTAAAAGGGAGAAGAGAAGAATTTTTCCTAAAATATTAAGGTTTTTTTAGTATATTTTCTCTAGAATTAGGAGGTTTTTTAGAGTAAAATTAGAGTAATAGAATAAACTTAATAAAGCTTTAATTTAAGTTACTTTTAGCTATAAATAGCTACTAGCTAATTATATTCTAATAGAGTAAGAAATTTTATATAAATTTATAAATATACTTAATAAATACTAATATAGATAAAATAGAAGAGAAGAAAAATAAAAGAAAAAGAGATAAGGGAAAAAAAATAAAAAAAGATAAAGAGAATAGAAAAAATAACTATATTTAACTCCTAAAATAGAAGAGATAGCTAGAGAGCTATATATTATATAGACTTAACAGATAGTTAAAGTACCTATATAGATTAAAAAAGAAGGGGAGTTAAAGTTAGAATATTAAGTTTGTGAGAATATATAAGAAGGCGAGGGAATTTAGATGAGTTGGCGGGAAGAAAAAGTGGTGAGAATCACGGCCCGATCCGGAAGCGAACAATACAGAAATCGCTATAACTATCTAAGTAGTTATATCTTCATAAGTATGAGTATATCAAGAACAAGCAAAGCGGGCCGACCCCTCTTTTTATAGTTAAGAATAACTCGGGGGGTCGTTAACTATGAGGCTCGTGAGTTGGGGCTGTTGATTGGCTTGAGCTGAAGTGATGCACAACAAAGTCCATTCCGCAGTGAGACTTTGCTGAACGTCCTCCGTTTATCATTTAATCCAGGCAGCAGGATGGAATCTACCGATGCGTGCGATGATGTCTACTTGGAGGAGGAACACTTGGATATTAGCCTGCATACCAAGGTGTGCACTGATCGATTTGATCATGCCATTCGCGTCGTCAATATACCCTCCAACCTCCATGGCCAAAAGGACCGATTTGACCTATGGATATCTAATATGGCCGTGTTTGGTCCTCCAAACATGTCGCTTGACTATAGATTGAGATTCTGCCCTCTAGTAGTGGGCATAATACACCAGTTACTGGATGTGATTCTAGATACACTAGACTACCGTACGTTTGATCTGTGCCCTGCTAGTTATGCTGTTGAAGCCCCGGCCCTAGACTGACAGATTGTGCGTAGTGATCACGAAGGTTGAAACTCCTCCAGAATACTACGCAGCAAAGAGACGCAAACCCTCTGACACCAGGTCGGGCAACGATTGGGCTTCAACTGCTGATCTAAGTGAATGGGATCGTGACAGTGAGTCAATACTATCAGCCACGGACGAAAGGATTGGTGGGACTATCACCCGCCTCCTCAGGATATCGAATGCGACTCGAAGATCCGCCACTATCTCCCGGTTGCGGAGAGTGGTAAAATCCACGAACAATGACGAGGCCAACCGACTAGCTGAGGAGACCCAAGAATATACCCGCGCCTATATTCGCTGGAATTTCCCTGAGATTCCGAATGCTCTGCAAGATGCATTGGTCGAGGCAAACGTGATGCGATTTAAACGCCTCTACTACCTCCAAGGCCACCGCGGACGTAGGACCCACCTGGACCCTGACCCCCGTCCGGCCCCTAATAGCCCAAAGCCAGCTCAAGAGCAAAAGGAAACCACAACCTCGACAATTCATCCTCAGCTATCACCAAAACATGTAGTAGAGCAGGTGGCGCTTTCAGGACCATCTACACATAGCGTGACGCATGCCACGACTGCCAGGGAATCGTCAGTCATGAAGCAAGCTGATCACTCGATCTCGGGGCATTCGGGGCCAAAATCAGCCACTATAAAGGCGCAACTCTATTTCCCCCCGGCTCCGAAGTCGAGTGAATGCCCATACTGCAAAATGTTTTGGCACTCCTCAAATAAGACCAACCGCATTAAAGAGGATGGTGAGACTAAGCATACAGACAAGAAGTGGAGGTAAGGGCTCCAAGGTGCATGACGTGTGGAATTATCTAACGTTTATTTTTCCTTGTCTACAGAGATCATGTTATGAGAGATCTAGAACCATACATCTGCCTCTGCGACTATTGCTCTTGTTCAATAACCCCCGAATTATGCACCACACTGACTTTTAACACGTCAGCCGCCTGGATCCGCCACATGGAAGGGTGCCAAGGGCAGTTTTGGGAATGTCGCGCGCCATCCCACCCCCTCCAGGAGTTCGATACCGAAAGTGAATACCAATCTCATCTCCAGGAAGTGCATGACATCCCGGAAGAGGATGCTGCTATTATGGCTACTAGTTCTTCCCTATCAGCAACAAAGACCTTTTTAGAATGCCCGTTTCAAGATACATTTGAGATAAAGGGGAAGTTCAGATTTGGCTCTATCTTCGCATCTAAGCTCTTACAGGGGCATATTGCAACCCATCTAAAGAATATTGCTTTATTGGTTTTACAAAAATCAGAACCGGGGGATATCAATGATGACCTGGATTCGTGCCGCAGCAGCAATGGTAGTGTATCTCAACCCCTGAGTTCCGACGCCAATATCTCTACCAAGGATGCAGGGCAACAGCACGATCAGATGTCCCAACGAAACAAAGATGAATTATCTATCCCTGAAGACCTCAAGCCGAACCCCCTTGTGGACGCAGCAAGTGAGGGGGATATTGACAAATTTAGACATTTCCTCGACCTGGGATATGATCCTGACCAACGTCATAACAATGAATGCACCCCGCTTCATAAGGCGGCAGCTAATGGCCATGCTGATATTATATCTATCTTACTTAACCGTGGAGTAGAACTTGAGTTGAAAGATGAAATGGGGCAGACCCCACTCCATAAGGCGACAGCTAAGGGTCATACTGATATAGTATCTACCTTGCTTAACCTTGGAGTAAAAACTGAGCTGAAAGACGAAATGGGGCAGACACCACTCTTGTTGGCCATTAGAGGTGGATTTGCCTCCCTTGTCGAAACCTTTTTAAACTGCGCAAGCATAGATATTGAGAGTGATGATATCAACGGTACTACACCACTCATGGCCGCAATAGCTCATGGATCTATAGGCATGGTACAATTATTATTGGAGCATGGAGCAAATCCGAACGCCCGCGACATTACTGGAATGACCCCACTAATGCATACTACACAAAAACATGACTTACGCATCACCAGTCTAATGATAGCGCATAATGCAGATGTGAATGCTGTAGACATACACTCAGAGACGGCACTCTACAAAGCTATCTCGCAAGGTTCTAATTCTATTGTGAGGCTTCTCCTCGATATAGGAGCTATAATCGGAACGGACGGCACTAAAAACTCCTCTGAAGTTCACCTAGCGGCAAAGAATGGAGGCACATTAGTATTGAAATTTCTTTCCAGCCGCGGCGCCAATATGCAGTCCCAAGATATAAAAGGCCGCACACCCCTTCACTTAGCAGTAAAGGCACGATCTATAGAGGCAGCAGAGTTTATCTGTAGCCAAGGTGTGAATCTAGAGGCTAAGAATAAAAAAGGGCAGACAGCCCTCCACCTAGCAGCGAAGAAAGGAGACAAAGCAGCGCTAATAATGCTATATAACTATGGTGCCAACCCCGAAGCGCAGGATTCAGCGAACCGGAGTCCTCTTCACCTTGCTGCCGAACACAACCACTCAGCCGCTGTCAAGTTACTCCTAAGCATGGGTGTACCCTTTCAAACCCGGGATCACCAAGGGAGAACGCCCGGATTCATCGCTTCCGAGAGGGGGTATGATGAAGTGAAGAATATACTACTAAATCCGATGGCTCGAATGGCTGCCCAGCAGTCACCCATTGGATAAGAAAGGCCATACAAAAGTATTTACGTATACGGATAAATTTAATATATATTCGGATAACAGGCCTGGACTTAATGTGGCGAGATCGAGAGCAAACACAAATCCAAGAAGTCGCGGGTACAATCCTAAAGTAAGACTTAAATCAATCTAAAATTATGCGAGCCACTCTATCTAGAGATTCCACCCGGACTTCGTAGTATTCATTATCCCGTATGGATCATGGGTAGGCCGTAGTGTTTCGGATCTTCGTTTTTCTCATAGAATGCCCTGGCGCTCCCCATATGACCGTTAATTATAGCTAACGGGTAGCATTAGTTAGACTAGCGCTGTTCCACTTCCCGGCGCTTAAGGAGGCTCAAAGGTTTGTGTGAGACAATCAACTTGTTTGCTAGATGATAGTATGAGCCCTAACTTTGGTAGCACGCAGTCAGAATTTAATAATCCTCCGGAAGAGACTTATAATCTAGACTAATACCCATCTTCACAATACAATCTAACTAGCGGAGTAACTATGTATTCTTGAAAATGGAATAGTAACTATATACAACAAGCAATAGTCCAAAATATCAATATTAGTTGACAACCTTGCCCATTTCTACTATACAACGCTGAAACACTTGAGATACTTAGTGACCCATAGCCTGATGCTAATTTAATTAAAACCCTTTATATAACTGGTAATTATAGGGTATTCTAGTTCCAACAGCTATGGACGATACTGCTTCGTTTAGAACCTTGATTTGATATATATTTAATATTTAGTAGTAGCTAGGCTTAGATAGTTATTTACTACTCATAAACGAGAAAGTAAATTTCACAATATAATCTCAGGCTATTGCTGCTGGTGTCCAGAGTAACTAGTAATGCATTTCAATTCATATTGCAGACGCGTCAATGGTCGTAATATCATGTTCACTAAGACAACGTATTTCATGGAGTTTCGTATTCTATAAAGACAAAATCTGTTCATCCATCATCGTACTTAAGAAAATAAATCCATATTGAAAAGGAGCAAATCAATGCTAAACGGAGAAGCTGAGAACTTTGTGCCGGTAGCCTTAATAGTTAAAAACGGTTGTCCTTCGTAGCCGCCATTGAGGGGTATGAGACCTCATTGACGATTTGAAGGTAAGAGGCAAGGTGGTCTTTCTTAGTCTCAGGGTCATCGAGACGTACGAAGATGCGTTCTTTCGTGCCATGGCGTCGATGTCTGCGACGTCTATTTTTGTGCACTGGTTCCCATCCATGGACACGGATAACGAATATAGTATAAAGGATGAAGAATAGGTGGTATAACCTATGACGGTTGTAAGATTTTAAGCCGTATAACTTCCAGGAGAAGATGTACGTACCCGCATGTACAAGAAAAAATTATAGCAGCTAACTCCAATGAGCCCAGCCTGTATAATTCCGGAAAACAGGGTCGAGTAAACTTGTTACCCTGATTGCATACAATGTCTAAAACGTCTGGTGGTAAAGGCGTCCAAAGCAAGAAAGCTGCTCCCAAGGCTGACAGTGTGATAGTTGGAACAAGCCCTAGCAAAACAGATACGTCTAATGCCAATTGCACCCCAAGGTGGGGAGAATGTCTTCGTAAAACAATGTAATATGCAACATAGATCGACGACAGGATAGAAATCCCAAGCTAAGGATATTCAGCGTTAGAGTAAGTCAACAATAGAAGGGATAGTGAGAATGCCACTATACCGGCAAGATAGGTATCCCGTCCTTCCATCTACCTTTCACTGGCGACGATGGTGGCACAGGAATATCTTCATTGATACGCAAGCACCCAGCAAAAAACCCCACGGCAATGAGAGAAAATACCGTACAGGACAAACGGAAAATCAGTTCCTGAAGGTATTGATGATGGAGCCTCTTCAGAAGGCGGATAGAAGAGAACCCTGACATTGTGCTTGACTTTTGATGGTATGCGGAGCCCAGCCCCTAAATGAACGTGCAGCTGGATATATAGATAAATCAAGAAATCATTAAAAATAATAGTGGCCAGCACCTTTAGAAGCAAATTTCCGTAGTTGAAGGAAAGACAAAAGAGTGAACAGCTATCATCCCACCTGGGCGGGTGGATGATGATAATAAAGGCAGACGGCAAACATGAGAAACGAGATAAATGTCCCTCTTTTCCTTCCCTGTTAAAACGGGACCCATCACAGCGCGTCCCTCAGGTCGATCTGCGCTATGATACGAAGCCTTATGTGCGTTGACTGCTTCATCGGACGCCTTCTGATATGCGATGTGTGGCAATGAGTGGCCTCTTTGCTGAACCTTTTTTGGTTTATAAACTGTGATGTTCGTTGGAGTATGGACAGTGGGTTAGATGTTTCATGGCCCGCAGCGAGCAAGGTAGCGGTGGCCAGTGGTAGAACATCGGAATGCCGCCCTGGAACACACCTGAAACATGGAGAAACGTTTCAATCAATATCCACATCCAAGAGGCGGCTATGCGGAGAATAATGACTCCGTAAACCGGTGAAAGGGTTTAAGGTGACGAAAGAACTTGGAAAACAGTAATAATAGGATTGCTACTTGATACAAAATGGCTTATCACAGAATAAAATACAACTGCGATCAAATATTAATCACCAAGACCGTGTTTGCTTCTCATCCGCCTCCCAAAGAAACCTCCCTTCCATACCTTAGCCGTTGCACGCCCAAATAACTCCTATACGCCAATTGGAGCAGTACGCGTGCATAGGCAGCACGAAACGCCAATTCTAGGCCTTCGTAAAGTCTCTTCAAAGGAAGGTTTCCAAAATGGCAGCAGAACATCCAAACAGCTGAATACTCAGGAAACAATAGAGAATAAACTGGGTAACAATATCACACCAACAAGTACTCTTCTATCCATAGGGTGATGAGAGAATAGGGTGATTACTGCACGAACCAGAACGAGGTATCGGGGCTTAAAATTCATTAGATGTCATCCAATAACTCAGTAGATTCATGCCGTGGCCTCGATCTCCTGTGGAGCGATTTCACCCCCAGCTTCCGTTTCTGCCCAATCCCCCCAAAGGCCTTGTTTTGCTTTGATTCGTAGCCGAGCCCCGAGATCTTTACTGCTTTGCTCAACTCTGACGGCATCTTTAGTTGCGAGGACGAGAACTTCGAAAAACATCTTTGTGGCATCGGCCTTGCTTGTTTGGAGTTCAGGGAGTAGATCTTGGAAAACAACAGCTTTGCCCTTTGTGGGTGAGTCGGTTGATGGGGCTTCGCCAAACTGCTCTCGTAAGACGTGAACAGCATGTTTTGTTCCTAAAGAGATTGGGCCAGTCTCGACCAAACTGCTGAGTTCGTCGTATTCCTCTGCATGCTGACCAAGGCCTTCATCTTCGCTGTAATGGGCGTCTCCGGAGCGAGGATGAGCTTGTTCGTCATCATCGGGAACTAGAATCTCCGATTGTTGATTTAGGCCGGTATCTTCTCCGAGAACGAGCCCTTCGTCGGGTTGTAATAGAGTCTCCTCTCTCTCAATGTCAAGCCGAGGAACCTTGGAACTGGAATCAATGTCCATATCAGCAATGCCACTGTCTCGCTTTCGCTTCAAGTCTCCTGCTTTTCTGACGGATTCAATCGAAAGTATCCCGCGAAGTTCAGGGGCCAAGTGGCCATTGCTAGTTTTTCCTATTACATTAGAGACGAAAGTTCCATTCTTCTGCATCATCATAAGGGTAAGGAGGACAGGGTCTCGGGGGAGGATGGATTCGGTTATTAAAATCTTTGATCGGTCTTCTTGTTGTTTTTTAATCTGGGCACTAGAGAGGATCGTGTCGGCATCTGGCATGATCAGCCTTCGTCGCTTTACTCTCTGATGATGCCGAATAGCTCCTTCATTTGCAAAGGTTTCGTCCAAGTCACGGACGACACTAGAACGAACTGATGAGAGTGGCGAGGCCGATCTACGAGTAAAATCGCTGGTAAGACCTGGAATGATAGTTGAGTCCTCTTCAATTGGCACGCCAAGTTCCCCGTCCATGCCTCCCATTGGTATATCCTCATCCATATGGGCAACATTGTCGATGTCATGAGACATGTCGTCATCCACTACTTTCCCGAGCGGGGCATCGTCCTCGCCAAGGTCAAGGTTAAGGTCACCGTCATATAAACGGTGGTCGTCGCTGAACAGGTCTTCCCCAACAGGGCGTGGGGCGGGAGCCTCCCTACCAACTTCAATGCTGGTGTCATGGCCAAGTGGGATATCTTCGTCTTCACCCAGATCTAGTATTAAGCCGGTATCATCTTCGAGGTGCGGCTTTTCAACCTGTCTGATTGTTTGTGGGGTGCTGTCCGGCAGGAGTTGGCTAGACCAGCCTAGGGATGAGGCAGGCCGCTTGGGATCATGGTCAACCTGCACCGGCTGGGTGAATAGGATGGAGGGGTCCAAGTTCATAAAGAGATCTGACTCAGTGAGTACGTCTGGTAGAGTGATTCCTCCTGCAGGTAGCGGCGCAGCGGTCGGAAGATCGTTGTTATTTGTTAGCCGGAAAGCCTACATAATAGACAATTAGTATATATAAAGGAAACCTCCTTTGAGTAGCTATTCAAACACTAACCATTTTGATTTTCATCAAAGCTTCATTGCAGTCATCCAGGAGATATCTAGTTTTGCGGCTGTATATCCGAACAACACCCAAAAGAAGCTGGCCACTCAGGCGCAGCGCCATGGGCGCCTGGCCCTGATCAACAATAGCATTGACACTGCTTTCAATATCCGATTGAAGGATATGGGATTTCGAGAGTTTCCGTTCAAGGTTGGCGGATAGCCAGACGCGAGCCAAAGGCCCCGTTTTCGACAGCAACGTCTCCGAATAAAACATCGCGCTGTGTCAGACAGGCGGCCAGGCTATATATGCTGCAGTGTTACCCGTATATTGTTCACGGAGAAGAGGTGGGTTAAGACCAAAGACCTGTCGAGGTCATGCGGTTTGAGTACTTCGATTGGGGGGCGCGGGTGTTTTGGGGGGCAACAATAACAAACGTCGGCAACCAAACGCGCCGAGTCGACAGTGCAGTCCACTTCACGAAAGGATCCAAAATACCATCTCCAAGAGTTGCAAAAAGGGTGCCTTGTCTCCAGTACGCTGTGATAGACGATTTAACTGTTGTTTTGCTGTCTTTGCGAGCGCTTTCGACTGCCGCAGCGCGTTGTTGTTGGTCCCAAAGAGCGAAAGTTCATCGAAAGGGAAAAAAAACCAAGTGGCTGGAAGGATCACGTGAAACGAGTGGTGTAATAATACCAGGCATCTGTTACAATATTTACTAGCGGTATTTAATCGGAAGGGCACAACTATTTTCCTTCAGGGCGCTTAATTAAGAAATTAGTGGGTCGTCGATGAACCAGTAAAACTCGTTACATAAGCAGCTTCAATCTTCCAAGGTTGAAAGTTGTCAACAGCTTCGGAAGCAGAATATAAAAAAAAAGTACATCTCAGCAAAGTTGCTACCATCGCAGCACTCTCTATTATGTTCATTTTGCGCACGGAAGCAGTGCTTAACCACGCTACTTAGTACTTATCACAATTCATTGAATTTGTTTTACCGCAAAATCTCACTTCTACGCGGCGACAGTAGGCCCCTGAGCCAGAGATACAATTCACCACTGCATGCGAGTCAGGGCATTTAGAACTGCTCTATGTCTTTTTGGCAGTTGATCTAGGATACGACGGCTTTGTTTGAGCCTCCAGCCTCAGTGGGGATGAGAAGGGGGGCTGCCGCATTTCATCGCTGGCACCGCATACGACTCTAGACAATGTCCGGCCTATCCACGCCGTCTCTGCCATTCTACAGTGCTACTCCGAAAAATGGTAGACGTTCGCCATCTCCAACTCGACGGTCGACGGCTGTCTCGTCCGCAACGACATCTACATACTCTAAGCTTTCTCCAGAGGAAGTTGCCGGCCGCTTGACCACGTCCCTCGTACACGGTCTTTCTCCCGCCGATGCCGATGCCCGTCTCCTACAGCATGGGCCTAACGAACTTCCTCATGACGAACCCGAGCCTCTCTGGCTACGATTTCTCAAGCAGTTTAAAGAGCCGTTGATTCTTCTGCTCCTCGCATCAGCTGCTATTTCCTTCTTGATGCAAAATTACGACGATGCTGTGAGCATCACTCTCGCAGTGACAATTGTAGTCAGCGTCGGGTTTGTACAGGAATACCGGTCTGAGAAGTCACTAGAGGCGCTCAATCGATTAGTACCCCATTTCGCCCATTTGATCCGTAACGTCCCAACCCATGGTTTTGGTACTCCGCAAACCGTAGCCAAGAAGGAAGAGTATGAAATGGCCGATCTTTCAAATGGGCCAACTCACCCAGTTGGGCCGGCGGCAAAGGCATCGACAACAGTTACGGCCTCAAACCTTGTGCCCGGTGACTTGATCATATTTTCCACAGGAGACCGCATCCCAGCTGATGTACGAATCACATCTGCAGCAGGTCTTACTATTGATGAGTCGAATTTAACCGGAGAGAACGAACCAGTCTGCAAGGTTTCAAATTCACTGGGCCAGCCTCCAAAGCAATTTCAAGATGGCAAAAATTCCCCATTCTATGATTCGCCCGCTGCTGGAACAGTTGGCACCGACCTTCGATTGAACGAGCAACATAACATTGCATTTATGGGAACATTGGTCAGATCAGGCCATGGACAAGGCATCGTTATTGCGACTGGACCCAACACCGAGTTCGGAAGCATATCAGCTTCGCTACAAGATATTGAGAGCCCCAGGACACCGTTACAGCTATCCATGGACCGGCTTGGCCAGGAATTAAGCTACATGTCATTCATTGTGATTGGCATCATTGTTGTGATCGGGCTAATACAAGGTCGAAAACTGCTAGAAATGTTTACTATCGGAGTGTCCCTTGCTGTTGCTGCGATCCCCGAAGGTCTCCCAATCATTGTGACCGTGACACTTGCGCTTGGTGTCTTGAGAATGGCCAATCGTGGCGCAATCGTAAGACGGCTACCTAGTGTAGAAACTCTGGGTTCTGTCAACGTTGTGTGCAGTGACAAAACCGGCACATTAACTTTGAACCATATGACTGTGACCAAAATGTGGCATTACGATATTGAAGAACCATTTGAGGTAACCAAGGAACACAACGTACTTAACCTTACCCCTGCCGCTCGAACAATCATGCGGGTTGGGAACATTGCGAACAATAGCAGACTATCAAGAGCTCATGCAAATTCTCCAGCAACTGCAGCCGAGGCTGCAGTCTTATCTTCCACGATGGATAGTTCATCGGGGGCCGTAAAAAGCCGCTGGGTTGGCCAGCCTACCGATGTTGCCATTCTTGACATGCTGGATATGCTTGGTGAAGACGATGCTCGGGACGTTATTAGTGGCCGCATTTCAGAGACTCCATTTAGCTCGGAACGAAAATGGATGGGAGTTATCGTTGCAAGTGCAAACTCAACAGATAATACTCTCAGTCACAGCGGCTCGGACATGGCATATATCAAAGGTGCCTTGGAAGAGGTTTTAAAAAGATGTGATACCTACCTTACCAAGGACGGAAGAGAGGTTATTTTAGATGAACAGCGGAGGAAGGCTGCTAAAACAGCTGCCGAGTCAATGGCTCAGGAAGGTCTTCGGGTGCTTGGCTTTGCCAGTGGGCCAATCAGAAGCCAGACTGCTGCTTCGAAGCATACAAGTAATGATGAAAAGCGCTACACAGGGCTCATATTCTCGGGCCTAGTTGGCATGAATGACCCGCCAAGAAAAGATGTTCACAAGTCCATCCGACGGCTCATGGCCGGAGGAGTGAAGGTTATTATGATAACCGGTGACGCAGAGACCACAGCTCTTGCTATTGCAAAGAAGCTTGGGATGCCAATAAATTCTTCCTCAGCGGCGCGGCCAGTCCTTCGGGGTGATGAGATCGATCATATGAGTACCGAAGAGCTGGCACAGACGATTTCTGGTACATCGATTTTCGCAAGAACGAGTCCAGATCATAAGATGAAGATTGTGAAAGCTCTTCAATCCCGTGGCGATGTTGTTGCAATGACTGGCGATGGAGTTAATGATGCCCCGGCATTGAAAAAGGCAGATATTGGTATATCTATGGGTAAACTAGGCACCGATGTAGCCAAAGAGGCAGCGGACATGATCTTGACGGATGACGACTTTTCGACGATTCTACGAGCAATTGAGCAAGGAAAGGGAATATTTTATAACATTCAAAACTTCATCACGTTCCAGTTAAGTACGAGCGTGGCTGCACTGAGCTTAGTCCTTCTTAGCACAGGACTTGGCTTCAAAAATCCTCTAAATGCCATGCAAATACTATGGATCAGTATGTGCTTCCTCTTTACTTTATGAATATTCATTACTTAATAGCATCGTTACTGACAATATGGCCAGATATTCTCATGGACGGCCCGCCGGCTCAATCCCTCGGAGTCGAGCCAGTTGACCCATCAATAATGGTCCGACCTCCTCGTTCCAAGCATGCCCGTGTTCTCACCAAACCCTTAATCCGTCGTGTCTTAACCTCCGCGTGCTTCATCATGATAGGCACTCTTTCCGTGTATATTCACCAGATGGCCGATCACACCGATGAAGTTTCAGGAGCACATTCCCGCGTAGTTACTCGCCGGGATACCACCATGACATTTACCTGCTTCGTCCTCTTTGACATGTTCAATGCCCTCGCGTGCCGATCCGAATCCAAATCATTGCTACGTGGCGAGATAGCTCTCACCGGCAATAAAATGTTCAACTATGCCGTTCTAGGGTCTCTATTTGGCCAAGCCTGTGTTATATACTTACCTATTCTACAAGGGATTTTCCAGACAGAAAGCTTGGGTTTTTGGGATCTGGTTTGTTTAGTGTGTATTTCTAGTTCTGTGTTTTGGGCTGATGAAGTCAGGAAATATCTACTATGGAAGAAAAAGATAGGTGGCATGGGAGTTCCAACTTCATCGTCTGGGGGGATGGTTGCTAGTGTTATTGGGTACAGCGGAAATGTGTAAGGGGAATATACATGTCGCATGATCAAGAAGATGCTTATATTTATTCGTTTTGTAATCTTTTTCGTTCCATGTTTTATTAATTGGGAAGCATACTTGGTTCTAGTGGCTGGCATGTATATATATATATATAGAGGAAAGATCTTTAAACTACTATTGTGCAATATCACTGGAATTTATACACTCTTCCGATGTCATGAGTACTCACAATATTTTTAATATGCAATTGCAAGGACATGAACAAAAGTACTTATTTCTTAATGAGGGAGATAGTAGGTAAGGCTGTTTCACTGCCCAGGCGGAATAAAAAGGACACAAGGCTCTACATGGATTACTGTATTCGATTTAATTGATTTTGCATTATTTATAATTTCTGCTTCCTGAATAGTAAGGAAGATTGTTAACGAAACAAAAAGGAAACCCTTCAATAGACAGTAAACGCCGTATAACGCCTCACGCTGGAAAGCAATAACCCATTAGGTAGAATAGAGGGTATCTCGGGACAAAATGTGAAAACTCCATGGACACGTTGAAAGCCGAGTAGACACTTATTGAGACTTTTCGCTCAATTCAACCGTCTCGTTGCGTTCAGTGGTGGGCTCTGCCGCACCAACGACCGAAGGCACTTCTGTGACGTCTCGAAGGTTGGTCTGTGAAGAAGACTTTGATGGAAAAGGGGAGGAAGTCTGCTGACTCTTAGTTTCTTGTCCTGAGCTAGAGAACATTCCACTATGTTCACCACACCCGTAGAGATTAGCACGAGGGATGATGCCGTCCTGCCCCGTCTGGTCATTCTTCTGGGGAGTCCATGCGAGATAGTCGCGTCGTACTTCGACGTAATCATACGCAAACTCGCCTAGCTGGTCGTCGTCCATGCCTAGGAGTTCGGCTTGTTCAGAAGCACGTAGTTTAAGGCCAGGTATTATGTTGATTGCGTAGGCGATCAGGGCAGATACGACGAAGGAGTAGCCTGCAGCAGCGACAATGTAGGCTAGCTGGATGTAAAGCTGGCGGTAGTTGTGAATGATCCAGCCTCCGACGGCGGTCCCAGTGGTTGGGTTTTTAGAGCCGACATTGACTCCGTCGAGGCCTACGATGGCATCACTTCCGAAGAGGGCGTTGAATAGAAGGCCAACGATACCGGCAACACCGTGCTCTGCGAATACGTCCATGGAATCGTCGATACCCATCCAGTATTTGACTATGGAAGTTAGGCCTAAAACTGTATAAGAGGGGGTGTTTTAAATGGTGACTTACACTTGGTGCTGTAGTTAGCAACGAAACCGGTGACAATTCCAAGGATAACACTGGCCCACGGTGGGATGAAACCAGAGGCAGGAGTAGCGGCAACGAGGCCAGAAATGGTACCAGAACACCATCCGACCATGGACCATTTCCTGGAAAGGCGCCAGTCAAGGAGCACCCAGGTCATCGCAGCAAAACTGGCGGTCAAGTTGGAGTTCCAGCACGCCATAACGGCGCGAAGGTTGGCACCGAATGAAGAGCCACCGTTGAAGCCCAACCATCCGAACCAAAGGAAGACGGTGCCGAGCAAGATCAAGGAGACGTTGTGAGGTCGAAAGTTGATCATCATCCGTTCGTGGCGACGACCGAGGACGAGTGAGTAGGCCAGGGCAGATAGGCCAGAGACAATCTCTACGGGGCCACCACCGGCATAGTCCATGACTCCGTACTTAAAAGCCCAGCCGTTAGGGTTCCAAATCCAGCAAGCGACCGGACAGTAGACGAGAGTGGCCCAGAAGAAGATAAAAACCAAGGCTGGTAGTAGGCGTCCTCGTTCGGCAACGGCACCCATGACAATCGCAGCGGTAACAGCGCAGAATTGAAGCTATGCTCGCTTGTTAGTGTTGACGTAAACGGGGAGCCACCGTAGCCACCATACCTGATAGAAAGCATAGAGAAGATCGGATAGCAGGGGAGAACCAGGGCTCGGTATAGCTAGAGTGTTCATGAGACCAAAGTTCCGCAAGTTGCCGATGAATCCGTTTGTAGCGGTGGGTGAAAATGCGAGAGAGTAGCCCCAGAAATACCACTGGAAGCTGATGACAGACATCGAAGCCATGCAGGCCCATATCATGCTCAGGGCCGACTTTCGGCGAGCAAGACCAGAGTAGAGGAAACCGAGCCCGGGAACCATCACCATGACCATGGCAGAGGCGACCAGGATGTATGCCTGGTCTCCCGGCTGAAACCATTTGTTGACATTCTCAACCCCTGCCGTCTGGTTAGAGAGAGAGTAGGTTCCCCAACGCTATGATGTACAAATATGAGGCACTCACGCGAGTCACCGCCCAAAGCAGTGTTTGTGGAGAGGCTGAAGTTCGACGGGGAGCCAGTCCAGTTGTAGGAGGCATAGTCCGGGGCAAAAGGAGCCGGCATCTTTCGGTCCTACTGCTTGCCCTGCTGGTTTTGATGAAAATGAAGGAGGGTATATATACAGGTACGAATATATCCTTGAGAAGATATATGTGAATGCTGTAGATCATATACCCCTAACGGAAAAGAAGCACAAGAGAGGAAGAGAATACTGGAAGAGTAAACGGCATCTCAGGGGGGGGGGGAGAGGTAGGGGTTAAGATAATAAAAGGATAGATAGAGCTCTCTCCATCTCGGCCTCGGGCCGGTAAAAAGACGCATCTGGAGGCGGTGACAGAGCCAGCCACAAAAACTGGGAAGCGGGAAGCAGGATGATAACGCGGAGTTGTGTTGGAAGTGCCTCGCATACTGTGATATCAGATTATCAAATGCTTTTGATACGTATGGCCTCTTGCCCCTGATTCGCTCGGAGGGCTCCAGATAGATAACGCGGAAGGTTTAGGAAGAACCTGTTGGTTCGGAAGATCCAGGGGGAGGCCTGCTTAGTCATGCCGGTACTTCTGGAGTACTTCCGGCGCCTTTCATACGTAGATAGCCAGCGAGGTACGGGTGGGAGGGTATCTTTGTTGGAAGACGAGAAGCCCCATGCAAGAGGTACATCCAAGGTACCATCCAGACACGCGACAGACCTCCTAACGTCCTTGGAATCCATGGATTTTCCTTTTCTTTTTTCTCAGCTCTCGCAAGAAGATAGATCCATCGGCTGTGGTGGCGCGCGGACAGCTTATCTCTTCGGGCGATGAGCTGAGAAAAACTCTGGCGAGCGGTTCTTATCTGGGGCTATCTCGTTCTCTCTTAAGCCTTATCTCTCGCCCTCTCTCGCTCTCTCTCTCTGTCGTTTCTCTCGCTCTTTTGTTTGCGCTAAAGACTTTTCATGCGCTACTTTGTGTGGCTAATTTTTTGGTTCTTCTTCAGCCGCGATAGAGATAAGATGACTAAGGATCGTGATTAATAAACACGACTTATATAAGCAGACACGCCGCTTTATCTGTATCTGACTAAACCATGACTAAGCCATAGTAAAATGACGCTGCTTTAACTGGCGAGTGAGAAGTCGCGTTGGCTTCACGTGCTGGCCCAGTTTGGCAAGTTCAAAACCGGCAAGTCAAAAGACCGAAAGAGGAAGAAGACGAACGAAAAAGGCAAGAAGAAGAAAAAGAAGAAGAAGACGAGAAAAGAAACACCTGAAAAAAGGACGAACCTCAACAGGAAGAAATCAACAGTAAGAAACTGCAGAGATATGAGCCGTAGCGCCAAACTCGCCCCGGAAGCCAACAGGTAAGGCAGCACCCCAAGTTTGTTGATATGAAAGTACGCGCGGAGGTGCCTTGATGCTGACTTGGCTCGTTGGCAGGATCCTCTTTGTGAAGAATCTCAGGTATGCATGCGCCTTGCCCTTGATATCAGCATCAAGCCAGTCCGATCTAATAGCACGGCCAGCTACAACGTTACCGCGGAGGAGCTCTTTGATCTCTTTGGCAAATTTGGTCCTATCCGGTGAGCTGCGTCCTGTCGTCGTCCCAATGGCACCTATATACACATGCAGAGCAGCGTGGAGGCTAACAGGATACCAGCCAAATACGCCAGGGCATCGCTACCAACTCCAAGGGCACTGCGTTCGTGGTATATGAAGACGTCTCGGATGCGAAACAAGCCTGCGACAAGCTGAACGGGTTCAACTTCCAGAACCGCTACCTCGTCGGTTGGTTTTCGTTCTACCATGCGTTTATACATGTCTATATCCGACTAATTGTACTCGCTGCAGTCCTCTATCACCAACCAGAGAAGATGATAAGGTCAAAAACAGACCTCGCCGCGCGCCAGGAGAACCTCGAACGGCTCAAGATGCAGCACGGTATAGATTGACTACAAGCGCCCCAGAACCAGGTGCTACTCACTTCCTCGCAACGTCAAACCCACCCTTTTCCCTTACCGGCTCCGGCCACCGAGGCCAGCAGCTTGTGTATTCCACTTCACGGCCCTTCTCCCGTTTCTCCCGCAGATTCCAGGTCTAGGAGCCACGTTATCTCTGCCCGCTCCCTGGCAGAGCGGTTCAAGGCGTTCGTTCGGTTGAGGCGTTTGGGGGTTACTTAACTTGCCGGCGGTTTTTTTTTTTTTCTCATCCACCTTTGTCTCTTTTGATTTCAGCTTTCCCCTCTACATATCCAGGGATAGTCAAGGAGAAATAGTTCTAGCTTTTTTTTGCTGGAAGATGATATTAAAATGATATAAATTATTGCCTCCACCGTTCACACTGCTATCAAGCCTGAAATGCCATCTTAGCCTTCTCGTTGCTCAACTTCTCTCTACCGTAGATGCATAACCTCGTCGTCTTCCTACCTATATATAAAAAGTACGGAAGCCCAGACCACACGTGACGTGCAAAGAGCCTCAAACCTTTGAAACTTCTAAGAAACGATACAAAAGAGTAAAAGGAAAAGAAGAAGAAGAAGAGAAAAGAAACCAAACCCCCTTTCAACGGCCGCTGCGGCTGTCTCTCAAGACGTGGTTCTTTTTTTACTGAGGTGCTGTTGTGTTGCCCTATTTATATATTCTGACCTTCTATCCTCTACGCGCAACAACCACGCCCTATGTAGGCAGCAAATCCCTTCAGCCAACTTCCGTGAACCATTCACGTTCCTTTCCAACAACAGACACCTAGAGGCCCACAAAGTAGAGGTACTTGGTCTGGGAAAAGCTTTGAAGGAACACAACGCTTCCTATTTCACCACGCAACCATGGGGCCCGGCCAGGGTACTTCTACCCTTCACCAGGCTACGACCACGTTGCTCGCCGCTACGATGACCTCGATCTCAGGTACAAGCACGGGGAAACCGACAACATCGCCATCGGGGTCACCGCAGGCACCAGGTGACGGGGGAAACGGGAAATGTGAACTGCTCGGCCCCTTTGCACTGGTGATCCAGTTAGCCCTGGGCGCCCTGGCGCTTCTGGTGCTGGTGTACAAACGGTGGAAAGAGAGGCCTCAACGACCGGTCAAAGTATGGGCCTTTGACGTCTCCAAGCAGGTCTTTGGCTCTTCGATGCTTCATCTGGTCAACCTGCTCGCATCGATGCTCTCGGCAGGTCAGATATCACCAGACGCAGCCCAGACAAACCCTTGCAGCTACTATCTACTCAACCTCGGAATCGATGTACGTTCCAAACCGCCCCTACCCACATATTTATATTTGATGAATCTTCAAGCTAACCTGAACAGACAACTCTCGGAATCCCCATTCTAATACTCATACTTCGCGTCTTGAACCATGCCGCATTATATACCCCCCTCGCCAACCCGCCTGAATCAATCGAGTCTGGCCACTACGGCCGTCCGCCAAAGGTATTATGGTGGTTCAAGCAGTCTATGATCTACTTCTTTGGCCTCGTTCTTATGAAGGCTTGCGTCCTATGCATTATCTACTGGCTCCCATTCATCGTCCTGGTCGGTGACTGGGCCTTGCGTTGGACGGAAGGCAACACAGCCGTACAGATCTTCTTCGTCATGCTGCTCTTCCCCGTTATCATGAATGCAATACAGTATTACATCATCGACATATTTATCAAAAAGCGTGCCTTTGAGCACGAACCCATTCGGGAAGAGAGTGAGCACGACTTCGACTCCGCTTCTATAAACAGTGATAGGCATCGGCGCAGTGCTCTGCTCGCCGGGCTAGATGACGATGACTCTGCTTCCAGTGACGACGATGTCGCTAATACCGCGCATGTCATCTTTTCAGACAACGAGGATGACACTAAGCCGGCTAACAGCCGAGCCGCTTCTCGTAGGCCACATCCTTAACCCCCTTTTTCCTGGGTTTCTTTCATATCAGAGTACTGGTGCGGGCGGCGTTGGTTTATCGGTACCCAGCAATTTGTTCAACATTTACTTGCATAGTTATCCATGTACAGTTCGGCCTGGTTTAGCATTGCCATTATCATATATTTCTAAATATTTACACCAAGTACTATATACACAGGGTAGATCAATCTACATATACCATTGAAATAATTTCTTTTACCAGCCATCTCTGATAAGATATCGCTATCACTCAAACATGATGTCATAAGTATAGAATAAATGGTTCAGCTCTTAGCTTGTCTTTGAGGGAAAAAAGAGTTCTTGGCGCAAAAATACAAAAATATCAAAAAAAAAAAAAAAAGAAAGTTGGTAGAAAAAAGTTGAATGAGCTTCATCACCAACAGCTTTGTGAAAGCAAGCTGCACGCCGAAATAAAGCTACTTTGCGGTAGACTGGTATACATCCTTTCTTTAATTTCAATTATCCCTCCTTCAAGCAAAAATGGCTCCAGAACGAAAATCCCGACAGAGGAAGCCAGCCAAAGTCGCATTCGTGGATGTTGGTGAAAATGATACCAATGGCAGTGCGAGTGAAGATATAATGGAGAAAGATGAGACTGAAGAGAAGCTAGAAAGACTGCTATTTGGCGACTCGGAAGGGTTTCACAGTGCGCTCAAGGAACGCGAAGTGTCAACGTCCAACGGGCTCGTTCTTGCAGACGGGTCGGACTCGGGAGACGGATTGAGAGACGGCGGTGATTCAGAAGATGATTTAGCGGATGTGCCTGATGAGGATGTACGATCCCACCATAACGGGGCATACTTCTATTGCTTGTGCTATGCTAACTTCATCTTGTCATAGCTATTCTACCTTGACGCTGGAGACTCTACAACTCTAGCTCCCATATCAAAGGATGAACAGCCAACGACAGGAGATATAGAGCCATTTACAGAGCCGGAAATCCCTGCTGCATGGGAAGATAGCGATGACGACCGCATTCGAGTCTCACTGGCTGATAACGAGCGTCTGAGAAAATTACGACTTAACGAGGCCGAGGATGTGATAGGTGGGAGAGAATACATTGCTCGTCTTAGGAGGCAGTTTGAACGTCTCCAGCCCGCTCCAGAATGGGCCAGTCCAGCAGCTAAGAGACGAAAGACAGCTGAGGATACGTCTGATCTGTCGATGGATGACCAGGATGAAGAGGAATCCATGCCCGCGCAGCCCCTGGCGAAGCTGTTGCAGAATATAGGAGACCTGACTAGATCTGGTCCAAATGTTACTTCTGCTGGAAAGAGAAAGCTGCGCCAGGGTGTTCTGGATATTCAGCGTTTGAAAGATGTTGGTGGGAACCAGCCGGTATGTATACAGCTTCCGTCCCCTCATTGTTCGCAGGCGCTGGCTCCATACTAACAGGTCTATTATTACAGTCTTCAATTGACTCATTGTCTTTCCACCCTCATTATCCACTACTACTTTCATCTGGGCCAGCATCTACCCTTTTCCTACACCACATATCACCTGACGCTGCTTCTCCTAATCCTCTACTTACCTCCCTCCATATTCGCCATACACCTCTAAAAACCAGCACATTTGATCAGCCAACAGGTAACCGTATCCTATGTTCTGGTCGTCGACGATTCTTCCACGTCTGGAACCTGGATACGGGGAAGATTGAAAAAGTCGTCGGTCCAGCTGATCGCAAACACGAACTAAAGTCCATGGAATATTTTAAAGTCTCCCCATGTGGCCGCTGGATCGGATTCGAAGGAACTACCAAAAAGGGCGGCGGCGTTATCATTATCCTCGATGCAAATACCATGCAATGGGTAGCCCAGGTACACATCGACAGCCGCGGAGGAGTAGCCGACTTCGCGTGGTGGAGTGATGGCGAAGGAATGTGTGTTGTCGGTAAGAACGGTGAAGTCAGTGAGTGGGATCGACGTGAGAAACGCATTGTTGCTCGATGGGTGGACGAAGGTGCCGTTGGCACCACGGTCTTGAGCCTTGGAGGACAAACCGGCCGGCAGGAACTTGGAGGTGATAGATGGGTTGCCATCGGCAGCTCTAGCGGCATTGTCAATATATACGATCGAAAGCCCTGGGCTGACGCTGCGGCTTTAGCCAGCAGGGGCAAGCCGTCCCAAGCACATGGCGAAGCAGCAGATGTTCAGTTTGGAGTACCGCAGAAGCCGAAGCCGGCTCGAGTGTTGGATCAATTGACGACTCCCACCAGTCATTTGGTATTTGCTAAAGATGGCCAGTTCCTTGTCATGGCCAGTCGTTGGAAGAGAGATGCGCTGAGGCTGGGTAAGCCGAGTCATTACCCTGAGCTTTATTTATCCAATACGAAATTGACATTATATTTCTAGTTCATCTACCATCATGTACCGTCTACTCGAATTGGCCAACGTCCAATACACCGTTTGGTCGTATATCTGCTGTTGCGGTATCTCCTACCTCAGACTCTATTGCCGTTGCCAATGAACAGGGGAAAATCCGCCTCTGGGAAATCCATGGATAAAACTGTTATATTAGGGCGGGACGGAAGATACAGTGTTACTATTTGCACCAATTTTTTCCGCCCTAGAGTTTATTAGTTCCAGGCGTCTGAGAATTGTAGGAGCAAATGATTGTTTAGATATCCAAAAAAGAATATATAGAACCACTTATAGATCTATAACGCCCCCAGCCTGTGTAATTATTTGACGGCATGTTGAATGAAGAGGGAGAGAGAGCTTTTCTCATAAAGGAAAATTAAAACCTATCTATCAAACTGGTATAACATAACCAAAGAATACCTCCAAGGGGATATTTTGAATTTCGGTTCTACCCACTTGCTACTTAGCCTTTAAGCATGTGAGTTATGTTCTCCTTATTTCTGACACCAGCCAAGTTGCCCACCTTGACACGCTCGAGGGTCAGGGCAGCAATGAGAGCCGCCCCGACACCAGAACCATCTTCGGCAGAGCTCATGACAACCTTGTCGTCTTCATTATCAGCCCAGTCAAGGATCTCACGAAGGGCTTTGGCACCTCTCTGCTTGAAATGAGGATACTTGTTAAACACAGAACCATCGGCACCGACATGGCAGGATTTGATATTCTTCTTTTTGCAGATCGCAGCTACTCCACAGGCGGAGATACGAGCGGCTCTGGTCCCAATGAGTTCGGCAAGACGTCGACACAGCTCAAGCTCTGGCTTTGTGGCCTGTATTCCGAGCGTACGTTCGAAAAGATCGCGGGTTTCGGACAAGTTCTCGAATGGATCCTCTTCAATGGCGGAGAGGAAAGATGAGTCCAAGAAATATGGTTTTCGGAGGTTTTCTATCTTTTGGCCCTGGAAGATGATGCCTCCCTTGTTGTCGATTATATCGATCAGGACGAGACGGAAGATTTCACCGAGGTAGAGGCCAGCGGTCATCTTCTCGAACGCCTGTTGGCCAGGACGAGGAGAGTCGCGGTCGATGATCTCGTCGAATTTAGTCAGGGGAAGGACAACACGCTCGTTGTCGAAAGCGCCGTACTCGCAGTTTATGGCAACAGGCGTGTCTGGAGGTAGATTATAGTGTGCAATCTTGGGTATCGAGCCAGCATTCTCCATGTATGCAGCGTTGACACCAGTTCCGAAGATGCAACCAATCCTCATGTCAGGATCAGTATATGAGGAAGCGATCAACGTTCCTGTAGTATCATTTATCAAGGCAGCAACTTTAATGGGCAATCCCTTGACATTGCACATGTTAGCATAGGCTGTGGGCAATTAGGAAAAAAAAAGTAGCTCATGTACCTTCTTCTCTAACGCGTTCTCAAGCATAGGCACGACATCCTCGCCTTCAACTCCATCGATATCAAATCCCTTGGTCCATCTTTGTAGAACACCGTGATCGATGTAATCCTGTGTTGCCGGGTAGGAGAAGGTGAAACCCAGAGGTAAGTCGGGTAATTCCTCTCCGTCGTGGTGATATTCAATGAACTGCTGGACACAGTCGGCAATGTACTCCCAAAGCTCTTCAGAAGTTCCAGCCTTCAATTCCTCCGGGATGCGGTACTTGGACTGAGTGATGTCGAACTCTCCCTTCTCCTCTGAGAGAACAATCTCACAGACACGCAGGTTGGTGCCACCCATATCTAGGGCCAAAAAAGTACCTTGCTCATTGCCGGTTGGGAATCCCAGAACCCAGGTAACATTCATAGGCTATGTACCGTCAGAATTGAGCACCAGAAACGCCCCAGAGGAAGCTAACAGAGAGGGGAAAGACGTACAATGTTCCCACCCTCCACACTGAGGCCTGTTTGTCCCCCCCTTGTCAGCCATGACCCTTTCCGCCAGGGTTTGAGGACGTACCCTTTGTGAGCTCATTGATGAAATGCTCTACAATCTTCTTCAGTCTGGCTGTGTCGACTGTGAAGGTCTCTTCAAGCTCCTTGATCTCGTCGAGCAGGGCCTTGGGCATGTCGACCATGGATCCTATGACGGAATCAGTGATCCTCCCCTATTTACTATCACTACCAAGAAGAACACTCACCCTTGCGGGATGGCCGCTTGCGAGGAACGGGAACCATCTTGTCTGCTCTTCTCTGACTGTCTGTCAAGTCAATGGTGCCGTTTTAACGGTAAGATGGAAGAGAAGAAGTGTATAGAGGAGAAGAGGAGGATGAAGAGGAAGAAGTGGTGGGGCGAGCGTTGGTTGGGAAAAGTAGTTAACTTGACTAGCTAAAAGTTACTCAGCTTCACCATTTTAATATCTCACCGTAACTAATGGAGTAGATATATCTGGCTACATAATTCTTCTACCGAATAAGAATACATAGAACAATATATAACTCTAATATACCGCTATAGTCATGATCGTAAACTCGTAAACGTTTTGAAAATAGTACATTGTACTACATCAATCCTTTGTGTCGACCAGCCTCGGCTTGTCTTCCTTCGAGGATACTTCAAGATTGGCCATTGATTGAGCCAACTGGTCTTCCGGTGGTTTATCTCCCTCTGTGGCAGGCTTCTCTAGCTTCTGGTTTTCTTCCTTTTCCTGTAGTGCCTCTAGTTGGGCCTTTGTCCGTGTCTCGTGGTCGCGAGACGCTTTCAGGGCCGACTCTACCTCTGCCGAGAGGCGGTCAACCTCGTCGTGAAGGCGCTCGTCTTGGGTTTCCGGCTCCTTTCGTTGCTCATGGCCCTGCTTGTCCTTCTCTGGGCAGGTTTCCGCCCAGAGCTTCTCTAGCTCTTCCAGCCACCCGAGCGCCTCGGCCAGGCGACGGACTCCACTATCACAGTCTCCCAGAATCAACACATCGTCTGCCCGAGACCCCAAAGAGCCAGCCTGCTCAAGGTTGACCAGGACACGCGGGGTCTCCTCTCGACACAGGCTCGGTAAACTAGCAAACGGCTGCACACTCAGACTCGTGCCCATGACGATACATAGGTCTGCTTGCGCGGGCACATCTCGATTGGCGAAGAAGTTTTCAGGCAAAGCTTCTCCGAAGAAGACGATGTCCGGCTTGACGAGCCCCTTGCACTCAGTGCACGATGGTATATCGCTGGACGCAATCGCCTTGGCCATCAGGTCGTCGGGGTAGGAAGCCTTACAGTCTATACAGCTATGGGTTGCAAAGCTACCGTGTGCCTCGATGATCATATCTCCGGGAACACCAGCTTTCCTTTCCAGACAGTCGATGTTCTGGGTAAACAGTTTCAGAAGCAACCCTTTGTCGTGGAGCAGTCTGATAAACGAGTGAGTGATCGTTGGCCGAAACTTGCCCGGGAACATCTCCCTTGCCAACGCGTAGAACGGATGAGGGTTCTGGCGGAAATAAGATATATCAAACACAGCTTGAGGGCGCGGCAGCTCGAGGCGCGCCAGGTTGGCGTAGATGCCAGTGTCTGGCGAGCGGAAGTCGGGGATGCCAGCAGAAGTACTGATGCCAGCACCAGTCTATACGTAGGTCAGTCGAGCTCTTCTTCTTATTTCCGACTTGTAGAGAGCAGACGATAGACGTACCATGACTACTATCTTGCAGGCTTTCTTCTCTTTGATGTATTTCACGACGCCGTCGATGCTGCGTTTCTCCAAAATGGCCGGAGGGACGCTGTCGTCCACCATCTTGGAAGTTTCTGCCCCCATTTCTGCCAGCTATATCTTCACGTCTTCCAGTATATTGTAAGCGGTACGTCTTGGAATTGAGCTGGGTTGCGACTTGACGCGGGGAGTTGGATGCTTCAGAGTTGGGCGTTCACCAGTTACCTAGAGTGGCTGTTAGATGATTGCTTTATTTAATCAGACGCAGTAGATGGGAATCCACCAAGAGATACAATACATACCAAGAGAAAAAAGGAGGGCTCGATGGTTTAAATGTTGGTTACGAAGATTAGTTAGTTATTTGACGACGCCGGGCCTCTTTTTGTTGCAACCCACCAAAGATGTTGGTTTGTATACATTTCTATTCTACTCTCTACATCCACCAGCACAACAAGCACCCCGAATTCTCTGCCACGGCTGGGAACATCTCGACATGTCCAGTACTGTCGTGAGCCATGTAAATGGCCAGAATGGCAATATATCTTCGCCAGAGATAGCGAACGGTCGAGATACAGGCAACAAGGATGAAATCGACATCTTCAACGCCAGCTCTGTGGCCGATATCAAAGCGACTCTCTCCCAGCTACAGAACAGAGAAGCGCTAGTGACAGCTCGCCTCGATGCTCTGGTGGCCTCCCAGAAGGATCTCTCGCGAGAACTCGGCCGTCTTGACCTACTACGAGCCCATTTGGGGACCCAAGCCAGCAACACTCGCACAATTAGCCATGACATGCTATCCGGGGCTGCCTCGTCTGCTCACATCCTCTCCAGCGCCGTGAAGAAGCTCGACCTCGAACAATCCCGCGTGAAGTCGATACTGGATATGGTGGGACAGGTCGCAGAGCTGAAGACCTGTGTGCTTGGAGTTGCAGGCTCAATGGGTGCACCACAGAATTGGGAGATGGCAGCCTCTTATATACATCGAGCGTCAAAGATACCAGAGGACGTTATAAACAGCCCCTTCGCCGCAGAGATTGTGCCTACAACTGAGGTCCCAGACACTCCTAATGTGACGCTCTCCAACGCTGCAGAGTCCCTGTGCGCCCTTTTTCTGCGAGAGTTTGAGCTCGCAGTCAAGGAAAATGATGGGGCAAAGATCACTCGGTTTTTCAAGCTGTTTCCATTAATTGGAAAGTCGGGCGTTGGGCTCGACGTCTATGGTCGATATGTATGTCAGGGAGTAGCCGCAAGGGCTCGCTCGAATCTCAACGCAGGGACTGGAGGAGCACAAGCAAAGGATGATTTCTTCTATGCAAATGCATTATCGAGACTGTTTGAACACATTGCTCAAATTGTAGAAGCTCACGGTGCCTTGGTAGAAAGACACTACGGCCCAGGGAAAATGAATCGAGTCGTCGAAAGGCTACAGGTCGAGGCAGATGTCCAGGGAGGGATAATCCTGGAGTCATGGGCTGAAGAACGACATTTAGATCGAAAGCTGACGGATATAAAATCCTATGCTTTTACATTCTTGGTTCAGAGCTTTCTACCTGCCGCTAGAGGAGCTGGTACTCCACGGTCAAACTCTCCTGCCAGCTGGGAAACACAGCAACGCAACAGTGAGGACGAAGGAGTGGATATGAAGGAGATAGATTCTATCTTGAATGAGATCTCAATTATGCTGGGCCGATGGTCCCTTTATGGGAGGTTCTTGGCTAGTAAATGTAAAGTATGTGTTCTACTTAGTCTCAACACCTATACTCTCTTCTGAGATGCTGATACCAGGTTAGGAAGAGGATGCAATAGTCGATGATCTTGAGCTACCGTCATTTTTGACTGGGTCTCCGCTAGCTCAGAAGGTAGACTCAAAGCTGCTCTCGCCTTATAACGCCATGACGACCTTCTTCCTTCGTCGTTCGGTGGAAAAGGCCTTCCAGCTGGACGAACCCCCATCTGAACTAACATTAGATCTTCGGAAAACATTGGTATCTAACCCGCCGCATATTACATCTGTTGTTGACGATATCATGTATATTGTGAATAAAGTCATACAACAGACACTAGCCACATCTCAGCGCTCGGCAGTGACCAGCGTAGTGCCTACAATTGCTCGTGTGCTTGGTGCAGATTTCATTGGCATGGTTCACCGGAAAATGCGTGATGAAACTAACCCAAGGCCCGTTGTACCAGGCGGCCAGCCTCCCGCTGCGACAGTTATCTCCTTCCTTGTACTTGTCAATAACCTGGACGTTGCCGTCGACTACCTGGAGCGCATCGTGAAGCGGCATATGGAATCAGCAGATGTCGGTGGCGATAATTCGAGTGATACCAATTCTCAGTCACGAATATCTACACTATTCCCCCTTGCGGACGACGCGCAGGTGGTTTTAAGTACATTACGATCACTATCGGCCACGTTCACATCCAAAGCCCAGGATCTCATTGGCGACGGAATACAGGTTATATTCAACAACGTATTAAAAGCTCGGCTCCGCCCTATTCTCGCTGACGCCTTCCGGGACATTGAGTATCAGCTGCAAGACGGTGAGGCAGAAGATGGTGTATACGGAGCGGTGTCCGGGGATGGAGAGGACGACGGCCTGATGTCCCACGAAGCTGAGTCTCACAGCATAGTCCGTCAGCGATTCGCGGCCGGTTGGCGAGACCTCATGCTGCCGATAGCTCGCATATTGACTGGCAACACCTTTGACCGTTTGCTTGGTTTAACGCTTGGGTCGCTATCTAAGCTGCTGGAGAAACGACTGTGGTCTTACCACGGCCGCGTCAATGCATTGGGAACCACAAAATTGGAGCGAGACGTTACTGGGATAATTACTGCTGCTGTAGATGTGGCCGAGGGCCAGCATCACGGCTCTGTGTCTGGGGAGAGAGACGGTAGTATTGGTGGCAGAGCGGGCCGATACCGTCACCGCGAGACGTTCGCCAGATGTGCCCAGATGGTGATGATCATGGGTATGGAAGATGAAGAGTGGGAGGAGATCTCGCAGTCTGACGGGGGCGTCGTGGACCGACTATCAGCAGAAGAACGAGCCCGCGCTAGAGCTATGGTCACCTAGATATCTAGTGGACAGTTCTAGACCGCAAGTCCCCGGATGTTCTATTTATGTTGTGTTAACGATGTCATCTGTCTTTGGAGGTGATAGATCCGGGATCGTTAATAAACGGCGGCCATTAAGTACTCTTCTAGCCGGGATAACTACCTCGTCAAAGCGATAGAATCACGCTGTAGCGAGCATGAGCATTCATCATGTTACTCGAGGCATTCCATCTGACTCGCATCCGTGACAGGCTCTCCTTGCGTTGCTGTTGCTTGCGACGCAATCGTCGAGTTGACGTACCTCAGCCTATTCCTAGAATTAATGCCTCTCAAAGCCACCTCTACAGACTGCCAGCGGAGACATTGAACATTATAAGCCAACGTTTTTAACTCTAAGGGGAACTCCTTTGCCTTTGCACTCACGTGTACCCGATTCTACTATTCTGATGTTCTTAGAAGGATTGTGTCGAGCAAGACCGCACGATTTAACTATCTATGCAGGCTGGAGGATCAAGGCGAGAGTCAGTGGAAATGTTGTCGGGGATGCCTGATAAGACATCCTCCATGGGCAGAATTCTCGCAAGAAGAGCTGGATAAGCCGCCATCAGAATGATACTACCTTGAAACACTTCCGTGCTTTCTGCTCGGTATATTCCCGCCCATGAGCTTCGCCAACATCAAGAAGCTAGCGCGAGCTGCTGCCGCCAGGAACGAAAATAGACTACGATTTTTTCCCAGAGTCATTATCGAATCCAATCTTCTCCGCTTTCCTACTGGGGCACGAGTGACATACCGCGGATTCGGCCGCTCATGCGGCCAGCTTGTCTACCTGATCTGTCCGGAAATGCAGTTGGGCGATGTTCTTCATTCAACTATATTCGATCAGCAGGTAACTCAGGGACTTGTTGAAGGGTAGCTTGATAAATTTTATCAGTGTAGCTGCTGCGGAACACAAGTACCATACAAACTCCCACCGGCCAGTACTCCCGGCAACGATAACCGGGAATGGTGTGCGCTTAACATTCGACGGCCAGTTGGGAGGCTCTACTCCCATTAGAGCGTCAATGGCTTTCACAAGTCGTTGCATTGAAACGTATTCACCGTGATAAATATAATAAAGTTGATGATTGGTTTCGAACTTTTTGGCGGTACCCCTTAACCGTCAGCCCTACGTTTAATTTAAGCAAGCCCTCTGCCACTTTACATTATACGGATGACAGTATCAATCTCCCCGATTACCTTCTAGGATGCTTGCACAAAACTATCCTGGAAACCCATGGCGAATATAGCCCTCCATATACGGTTAAAGTGGGCTCATTGGGTGGAATATTAGAATAAGGACTGGATGGCTAGAGGGGTTGCACGTATGTAGGGGCGGAATATCTACAGCTAGGAAATATATGATGATATTGATCGTCGTTTGATATATGTATATATATAAGCCGTCATCTAGATAGCTCTAGGGTTTGTGATAGTAGGCGTTTAGTGTCCCCTAACCTGAGGAATAGTACAGGTTGAAGAGTTATATCAAGGGCCATCCTTAGTCTCTAGACTGCTTCCTCCCCCGGATATAAAGCATGTATGTGTATGAGGACTCTGCCTTACAGCCTCTTTTTTCTGTCTGCTTCTCTTCGCTCTGCGTGCTCGTTCATGGATTCGGCCGTATCATATTCGCAGCTGTCTACCCGTTTTCTCTATCTCCTCGTTCTGCTGCCTCAATTCCTCACTCTGCTGCTCCTCCCTTCATCCTACAGCCCTCTCTCGTTCTTCTCCCCTGTGCCGCTCTGAGTTGTCACGTAGTTTGAGACCCAGTGTTCCAAATTGACAGCAGACTGGAGGTATAAGGCCGTTTTTGAGCTTATGCTCACCATCTTCAACAGAGAAAAGAAACGAAATTAGAAAAAGGTGCCGCCCGTCTGTTCTAACTACAAGACGACAGAACAAAAAAGATGATTAAATAAGATACAGCATGAAGCGCTGCTTCATACCTACCAGATAGAAACGAGAGTAGGAAATAGACGGCAGACAAAAAGACAGCGTCTGGAGGTTGTAGAGGAAGCAGATGCTGACTAAGCAGGCGGCTGAGTAAGTAATAATTGCTGAGTAAGTAATAAAACGCGTAATACGAATACGCCGACTTCTTTCGAACTTCGTCTTTTTTTTCTGAACTTCCAAACTTCGACTTTGCGCGCGAGTTCGACCTTTGACGGCCAAATTATTTTGCGTTCGGATATGGGAATATTGCGTCCTTAGCTGCCGGCCGTTCGTCTGCCAGGAAGAGCCAGGCTGGGCGTCTTTTGTTTTATTTTTTTCTCTCTCTCCCGTCGATGCTGCGCCCGCTGTTCCCGCCGCACCCTCTCCCTCTGCTCCCCGCCCTCGAACAAGTCTCTCTCCCACGCGCCGATGCCACCAACTCGATCTGACTCGACATCTCCTCAACTCTATCCTCTGCTTCTTCGTCACTGGGGTTTGTGAGTCCGTTATGGCTCCTCCGGCCTCCTTTGGTGCTCATCCTACCAACCGCCCGTCGCACTACCGCACTCCGTCCCCTCCTCGACACGGCATCGAGCCTCTCTCCCCCGGTAACCCTTTCACCCCTTCTTTGATATCTGCTTCCGTCCAACGTCGTGATCTTTCGGGGAAATCAGCTGCCAAATTCTCCGGGCGAGATGATGAACCTGCTTCCACGGACGAAGCGCGGAGACATGGCCGCCATCGTTCCATCGACGGCGTTGCGCATCTCCATCACCACCAGAACCATCGCCATCAACAAGTACTACCACATCAACACCATCAACATTCCCCGGGCAGGCCCGGAGGCCACGCCAGATCCAGATCTACCATCGACACTCTTGCTACAATAGCTCTTGCTACCAGTCCTACTTTCTCTCCGCTCACCTATGACGGCCCGGATCAGCCAACCATCTCACCACTCGCACATCACGATTCGGCTGATACAGACGAGAGACCCTCGAAACGAGCAAAATCTGAAAAGGCGCCCTTGTCGAGCTGGCATAGGCCGGCAACGAGCCATGTCTCCACTCTCGACAGCATGAAGACGGATGCCGAATTACTTCTCAATTTCGCCAGACCTGCCAACTCTCCTCCTTTTCCGCCTCACGGCACCCTATCTAGAAACGTAGACAACACCACCCACTCCCGGAACCACCCGTGGCGCGGCCATGCCTCCGCCATCTCCATCCATGATCAGGGCAATGTCTTACGTGACAGAGGTCCTTCGGCCTGGACCGAAGCAGCAGGCATGAACGGCGTCCCGCCGGCCAGGCTACGATCTCAGTCAGATGGCGCTGCTGTCCTCTCCAGACCTTCCATGAACGCTCTTCTCCCCGATTCAATAATACATTCTTCCGCCATAGGACCCGTACTCGAAGACGACCAGGAGGAAGATCGGATTGCGAAGAAAAATGTTACCTGGATGCAAGACACACCTACCGTGCAATCTGCTAAACCTTCACAGGACAAGGAACCCACTATATCCGGGCCGCAGACGAAGCACAAGGCGGCCGAAGGTAACTCAACCGGCCAGACAAATTGCGCAGCCTGTAATCGCGATCGAATTCCGGTCGAGACTGGAGGAGACGACACGGAAGTTACCTGGGTAAATTGCGACGGGTGTGATCGATGGTTCCATATCGTCTGCTGTGGCTTCAATGCCCACGAGATAAGGACTGTAGACAAGTTCATCTGCTCCCAATGCCATCCAATACACGGCCCAACAACCTTTGTCCGCAAGTCCACTCGTCCACGGACTGCCATCGATTATGCCGGTCTAAACCAAGGATTTGTCAAACCGCCATCAGAGGAGAGTGAGAATATACATCTTACTGCGATAAAACAGGGCAAGATATCATTCCTGCCTGATCACTTCGCCAGAATGCCGCCAGATCTGGTGACCGCATCATACTTCGAACGCGGTGCTGGGATGATCGAGCCCATAGTTATTCCTGCACATATGAACTCGCGTTCAGCCACCAACTTCCACGAAGCCACCACTGAAGAAGAGTTCGATGAAAATATTCCCGAAGACGACGGCTACGAGGAGGCAATTGATTGCGGGCAAGATCTTCTCGACATGGTTATTCCCAAAGACCTTACAGTAAAGACTGTAGGTGAAATATATGGGCCAGAGGAAAAGATCGAAGTCATCGATGTTAAATCGCAACAAGGCGAGGAGAAGAAGTGGACCATGCAAAGATGGATGGATTATTACTACGATACCAACTCCTCTAAAGTGGTCAAAAATGTTATCAGTCTGGAAGTTTCACAATCTCCTCTAGGAAGGCTACTACGGCGACCCCGAGTGGTTCGTGACCTTGACCTCCAGGACTCAGTGTGGCCACCCGAACAGCAAGCCGTAGGAGACTACCCAAAGGTTCAATTCTACTGTCTAATGTCTGTTGCAGACTGCTACACCGATTTTCATATCGATTTCGGTGGATCGTCGGTGTATTACCACATACTGAAGGGAAAGAAGACCTTCTTCTTCATTCCACCCAAGGAAAAGCACTTGAAAAAGTACGACGAATGGTGTAATTCGCCCGCTCAGGATACTACCTTTCTTGGAACAGAATCCAAAGAATGCTATCGAGTCGACCTCTCTGAAGGTGATACGATGCTGATTCCTTCAGGATGGATCCACGCTGTCTGGACGCCCGAGGATAGTCTGGTGATAGGCGGCAACTTCTTGACCAGAATGAATTATTCGATGCAGCTCAAGATCACAAAGATGGAAAAAGACGCCAAAGTTCCACGAAAATTCCGATATCCCTTCTTTCAGAAAATCATGTGGCTTACCGTCTTGAAATACCTGGCTGACGACCCTCTACCTCCTCACCTTCAGGAGGCTTTTGCCCTAGACGAAAATTACCAGTTCTATCGCGAAACACCGGTTTATCACCTGGCAGTAGGTGAGACTACAGCCACGCATGAACCGGGATCGGAATATTACAATGCAAAGTACTATTCCCAAGGTGAAATTGATGGGCTTCCAGAATTGGCCAAGTATATCTTGAGAACAGCATTGATTGCCGGCGGCTACAAGGTTGACGGTGTTACTAAGGAAACCAAGAACGCCGTCAGCAGATCTATTCCCAAAGGCCAAGGTGATCCGGTTGATATTGCGCGGAAATTTGGAGTTTGGGTTGCCTGGAAACGGGGTAACGAACCTGCTCCTCAGTGGACGCGCCCTGGAGCAATTGTTATGGATGTAAAGGTTGATATGTCTGATAAAAGACGAAGCACCCGACCACGCAAACAGTCTGAGCGTGCTCTGACTGGTTCTCAAAGGGGTAGACCATCTCTAAGCACTTCACAGAGGCCGTCAGACCAAGGCCTCCAAGCTGCAAGTGACACGCCTTTAAGAAGCGTTTCCGCTTCTTCGGGCAGTGGAACACCAGTCCAAGATACCCGCAGGACATCCCTCGCGGATAATAAAGGGCATGAAGGCAGTCCACTCCAGACTCCTAAAGCTGCAAGCCTTGGCCCAAAAAGGGTTGCCTGTGATCCTTGCCGGAAACGTCGTATTAAATGTCGTCATAAGGGTGATACCGCCCCTGAAACTACTTCTGATCTAGAAATAGTGAAGGAGCCTAGTAGTCATGGGAATTCTGATGCAGGATACATGCCATTGACTGCCCCCGAGCCCAAAAATTTAGCCGACCAGGTCAACGATGACGCCCATCCCCAGAAGGATGGCATAGCCCTACGGGAAAATACTGTCATTTCTAATCCTCCAGACGCAAGCGGAAACTTGTCAAAAAAGCCTCAAGAAACAAGCCCTAGCTCGTCTAGTTCGAGCAAGAAGGGCAGGATAAAGGCCTGTGAAGAATGTCGGAAGAGTAAAGTTAGTATACACCATTTCCCCATATATACCTTTGGAGAGCATATTAATATTAATACTTATCAGCGTCGGTGTATCCATGATGAAGCCGGTCGAATCGACCCAATAAAGATCCAAGAGCAGCCAAAGACAAAGCGTTCACGCACTGATGACGAGAAATCGACTCCTCCGAAGAAGCAAAAACGCAATGACGATAAATCACCACTTACAGAAGCTGCATCTTTATCAGCTACCGATAATGGCCACGTTCAAACTAAGGTCACTAATCCACATGACAAGCCCCATGTTCTCAAATCTGATTTCCCCAGAGAAAGCCCCCTTTATTCGTCTCCTCCAGCCGGAAATTCGGAGGTGGAGGCCGCACCTGAACACCCAATGGCTGCAGAATATGTGCTTCCCATTGGAAGTCTCGTATCTCCTCCTACGTCCCTTGTCGATGATGTCGACGGGATTCCTAGCTCTCTGGATGGTGAAAGGGCTAAACCGGTAGACGGTGAACGGAATACCGACAAATCATTATCAATCCATACACCGACCTCCATATCTTATCACCCTTCCCGCTACCCTCCCATCTCAGTCAACACGAAGACTGCTTATAATTCCAAACAGCGTGCATCTAAAGATCGTACTTCCGCCCATGGTCTGTCTCCATCTTCTCCGATAAGATCAAAGACATCGTCGAGACCTGGATCATCTCACCGTGCAAATGAAGGTGCTGCATCATCAAGTTCAAGGAGGGCACATGACCGCACAAGTTTCGCTGAGGCTGATGTTGACCCTGATAGCATAAAGCTCATTCGACAACTTCAAGAAGAAGACTTTGGGCTTCGACGGAGGACTACAAAGCCAAAGCCCTAACCTTAGTTTCATTTTCTTTTCTTTTCCCTCCCGTTTCTATTTCTGGTATTTGGAGTTCATCCAGGTCTCTACGGGTAACGGAGTCTGGTTTATGATGGACAAGGCGGAGCCTATATCTTTTATTCATTTCTTGTCAATTCATAATTTTTTTTCCTATATATTATTTTTGTCTGGCAGACTGATTCCCAGTGTATGTTTAGATAGGAACGGTATGGGTGAGTGGATGTAATAACTGAAGTACATTTTTTTACTACAATAGGAGCACTTTAGTATATCCATGCCTCTACCAATTTCGTCCTTCTAAATAGTCCGTAGTATATGCTGATATTCAATTAGCACATTGTATGGAGATCCATTAATATCACGCCGCTGAGAACGGCTTGGAATGTAAGAAACAAACTTATTTCTTTCGATTGATTTTAATATTGGGATTAAAATTGATTAAAACAACAACAACAAAAAGAACCTGAGAACACTGAATGCAGGCCGCCATTTAAGACATTACAGTCAAGAGGAAGAGATTGGAGAAAAAAGTAGAAGAAAGCTGAAAAACAGAGGGAACCATTTGCTCTTAAGAGGTTATGTATCTCCAGAGGAAGATTCCACCCGATTAACTCGTGAAAAGGAGAAATCAATGACGGAAAGCAAGCATGAACAGCGTCAACCTAAGAGGTCATTCGATGCCAGGAATATCTTGGCGATAAACCAGATCTGGTGAAAAAAAATGAGCAATATTCAGCCTCCAGGCCCAATAGATGCCAAACGCTTTTTTAACTAGATGACAATTCTTTTCATCATTCTGGCATGAGTTAAGTGCTAACTCCGGTTTTATAGATGTGCGCCGAGGCATAAATGGTGGAGCCAATTTTGTGATTCTGTGCAATAATCTGTCTGTGTGCAGATATTAGCCACGGGAGTAAGGGTGAAATCCTCGGTGCGCTCCACGGCCTCCGCCGCGATAGTTAGCTCCGGGCCTTCCCGCATTTCGAGGACCCGTAGGAGCATTGGCGGGAGGCGCGCTCTGTGGCTGCGGTGATGCAACAGGTTGCGGAGGCTTATTTCCCACATTCGGAGACATCCCTCGCCCCATTGGGCCTCCAGCACTACCAGCACGGCCCATGCCTTGAGGACCGGTTGGTAGGTTGGGCTGTGGTGTATCATCGTACATTCCCTCCCATGAGGATTGGTTACCCTGTTGGTAGGGATATGCCCGAGGATCGGCTACCCGTCGAGCTTGTTGTTGTTGTTCATACTTCTGCTGTTCAAACGCAATTTGTTCTTGGGCATTGTATCCAGGGCCATTTCTGTTATTGCCAAAGTTTCCACCCATTCCAGGGTTGCCGGCCGTACCGGCGCCTCCTGGCCCTCCTGCAACGGCCCCGGGCATATTCCCAGCCATCTGGCCACCCATACCACCTGGGAAACCGGGCCCTGCTTGGTTTTGATTCGGCATTTGATTCATCTGTTGCATCTGCTGCATCTGCATTTGTTGCATTGGGTTCATCATTCCTTGCATCCCCTGTCCATTGGGCGGTGTTTGAGAAGGAGGGCTCATTCCTCCTTGTTGGGGCCCTGGCTGCTGCTTCATTTGTTGCATCTGTTGCATCTGCTGCATCTGCTGCATTTGTTGGAGCAAGGCAGGGTTCATGCCTCCCATCGCTGGGTTCATTCCTTGTGCTTGAGCGGAAGCCATTTGCTGTTGCATCAACGCAAAGTATTGTTGCATCCGTTGCCAGTATTGTGCCATCATTTGAGGCGTCATGCCGCCCGCCATATTTGTTTGGTTCTGAGAATTCTGCTGCTGTCCTGAATCAGATCCGCTACCCCGGTCGTCCTTAAACCGATCGTCACGGAACCCGCGTTTGCCCAATCGGCGGCTTTCCTCATCATCCCTCAGATTCCCGCGGGGTTGGGCCTTTTTCACTTCAATTGCCTTTCCATGTATTTCCAATGGCACTGAAAGTGTTGCTTCCACGGCGGCTTCGCTATCAAACGTCACGAATCCAAAACCTCGAGGTCGCCCAGTATCTTTGTCGATCATGAGGGTTGCATCTACAACGCGGCCGAACTGCATGAAAAACTGCTTGAACTCTTGCTCAGTGGCTTCCTGGCTCACTCCGCCCACAAATATTTTACTGGTCCGCTCCTGTTCATCTCGAGGGATTGCGCGTTTAGGGTCAATCTTGTGTAGTTAGTAAAAATATACGAAGAGTGATGTCAATATCAAGCAGTAAGGGAGGTGGATATCGTACAATTTTACCGTCCAAGTAATGTTCCTTTACCATTACTGTGTTCACGGTCTTTGGATCAGTGAATGTAAGGAAGCCGAAACCTCTCGATCGGCCAGAAGCACCATCTCGCATAACAGTGCATTCATGGACTTCTCCAAACTGGGAAAAGTATTCCTTGAGGGATTCTAGGGGTATAACATCAGAGATTCACTTTTCGACCAATATTTTCCATCATTGAAAGGAAATTATATACGTACGGTCTGTTGTTTCCCAATTCAATCCTCCGATGAACATTTTACTATTTTAATGTATAGTATTAGCCCATATTCATTCTGATATATGTTATATTGAGGCACGGCAAGGATAGCAACTGTTAGTTAAATGCAAGGTGTAGGGAGTAAAAAAAGAAAGAAGAGAAAAAAAAGAAAAAAAGTCGTGTCTGCACGTCCATGGCTCTGAATTTCCACTTAAAAGATGAAAATATAGCTTCTGCCACTCGGTCTAGTTTAGGCCTTGGTGAATTATGGCCATATGTTGTTGCGTCGCGATAGACAGATCGTGGTCGGTGATGTCAGGGGTTCTAAGGTGCCATAATGTGCAGAGATTCCCAGAGATCGCATCGTAACTGGGCAAATGAAATATCTCCCGCCATATCAACCAACGGCCTTGTGGGGTTGCGACAGCCCTTGTAAGACGATAAGTTCAGCGAGCTGTTGGGCGCTTTACAGTCGAAGTGTGACGTTGACTCTCACGATCATGTCGGAAACTAGGTGCAGGGTTCTTGGTTTTGGATTTGGATATGTAATGTGCACCCGTCGAGCTTCAAGAAACTGAGAATTGAATTTTTTTTTTTTCGATGTTCTTTGTTCCGATAATCCTCTGCCTGATTCTATGTCCGAAGCTAGGTAATGTTCGATATTCCATATAGAAGACAGTCAAATGACTGCTCCTTGCACTGCTCTATCAAGATATACCGACAAGATATATAGTATCTGATATACTATGGTCGTTCCAAAGCGGAATCGTGCAGAGGCTTTAATGCATGAAATACCCTCGATCTCTTCTTGAGCCACTGAACCGATGAACCCCATCGTCTATGGCCAGCACCCTTCTTGACCCCCTGGTACCCTTTCCATAAATGTCCATATAGTGAACTGCCCAGCCATGCCGGGGTTATGCAAGCTCAGCTGAGAAATCTCCGGGTAGCCAGGTATTTCCCCTCCAAACTATGATGTGATCTTATAATCCGCACACGCACACCACATATTTGATCTTATAAACCATCGACTTCATAGTCCAAACAGGCGCAGTCGACGAGAGAGTTTGGCGGATCGTATAGGTGGATATGACGAGTCAGTAGGGATACCATCCCTTCTCCCAAATAATATCCACCTTGGGCTACTGAATCACGAAGGTATGCCCACAGTATCTCATTTCTTTCTTACCGTAACAAACGCACGGCTCGATTGGTTTTCGGGGTAAAGTGCACAAATTAAACGGAAAGAGGAAAAATAAAACCACAAAACTGCCAAACATGAGACTTACCCATCCTCTTTTATGCCTGTTCCTTGGTTTTCTGATTCATGTGAAGCCTGGCCACCGCTATTAGTGTCTCCAGCCGCCGATACTCCTCCCTGGGCCCCATTGTGGGCGGGCGACGGTTCTAATATCTGTTCTTGGACAGACTGTGGCTGCTGAGTGGCTGCAGGCTGTGTAGAGTTGGATGTTTCGGATGCATCCGTCTTGGTAGAAGGTGGTAGTTGAGATGGTGCCTCTGCAGCGACAGGCGGTACAGCTGCTGCCGTGGCCTCCTCAGCATCGTACCTATGGAGTATGTTAGAACATGCAGCTATGTGTAGGCGCAAGCAAAGCGACAACAACATATTCGAATCAATGGCAAGACAAGGACAAATTACTCACAAATCAGCGAAGAGATCCTCCTCGAGATCCTCAGGCTCAGTCATGGTTAATCGAGTCAAAGAAACACTTAGGTAAAGAGATGCGCTAGGACGTAACAAGTCACAAGAAGAGAAAGGAATCAAATTACAGCCAACAGCTAGATATACCGCGTTAGTTTCACCAACTCAAGCGCGAGTTGTAAATGTCTTGTCGATGTTGTCCTTGAAGTGTGAAGAAACCGGCGAGGTTGGAAGGGTTTTTTTTTTTTTCTCTCGAAAAGGTGGCTTGGATGACTAAGCAGAGCCAACTGGATCCCCAAAAACTTCCCGACGTCAGGGAAGAAAGCAGCGCAAAAGATGACAGATTGACAGTACAATATCTACAGCCGTCGAGGGAGGATAGATGCTGAAACAACGTATATTTGCATAATTGGCGCCTAGCCGTCTCTTCTTGTATCAATTTTTTACCTGTTAGCCACCACAATGACGAGTAAGAAAGGGAAACAGGAGCAGCATCAGACGCCGCAGGTATGGGCAGCTTGCCATGAATATCTCTTATCGCATCAAGCTAACACATTACATATAGGAGATGGTCCAGGTCGGTCCGTGACTCGAGCTGCCTTATCCCGTTTACATCTAGATCAATGGCCCCTTTTTATATATATGATAATATTTTCTACAGGGAGATCTTTACTAATACGCTGATATGCGATAGTAGACCATACATCATCGTATGTTATCGTCTCCTCCTCCCCACTTCTATTTCTCCCTTCCTATAGCAGCTGTTGACTATATATATATATAGACGAGCGGGGCTCCCATTCTGGAGATCGATGTCGTCGTCTTCCCGGCCGCAGAGTCCTCATGTGCCCTTTAACCATAACACAGTGGTCGGGGCTGCTTACGCCCATACAGATATGTTGAAGTTGGCTTCCCCGCCCATATCCCAGCTCAAACTATTACATAACGGATCGCAAAGCTGACTTTAGCATTATTGTAGGGGTGTCCCTCCTACTTCTAGAACGTCCACACCGTCACGGCCCTCATTGTCCCCCACCTCTAGTAGGGTCCGTGACATTAACACTGGGAAACCGAGCAGAAGAGCATTCTCGTCGCAGCATCCATATGGCAACTTCCTTTCGCAGGGATCCGGAGGGCCAACTCCTGACCCTGATGACGAAGATGATGGCGATGAAATAGGGTACGAGGATGATGAAGATGAATTTGGGCTTCCAAGTGTTACGAACATGCGACGACAACGAGCCAAGCCCATGACTTATAATCTTCAGATGAAGAGCAACCAAGCCACATCTGACCCGAGTAGTCACGTAAACGGTTCAAGCCTGGTTCCTAGTATGCACGGCATGCGCCTTCGAGCGAACAGTGCGGATATTGCTGAAGAGCGGGGAGGCCTGACATACCCTACAGCCAACAGGTCTGAAGGAAAGATACTTCGGCCGCAATATAAAGATATATTAAAAGGTAAGCTCTACGTATGCTCGGTATGCGACGTCAATAGCTAATCATGAAAATGCCAGACCCCGCAAATTCCTTAAACTTAATCAACCATTCGCCTCCATCACCTAGTGCTAGTGCAAAGGAAAAAGAGGCACATTCTACCCGAATAAGTCGGGTTAACAAGTTCAAACGAATACTCCAATCTAGTACCGTATCATTGCCTGAGCTTCGTGATTTGGCTTGGTCAGGCATTCCGGAAGAAGTCAGGGCGATGACATGGCAGCTGCTTCTCGGATATTTGCCCGCAAACAGCGATCGCCGTGTCTCAACACTAGAACGCAAACGAAAGGAATACCTCGATGGTGTACGGCAAGCCTTTGAGCGTAATTCATCGATTGGATCTAAAGCTGTGCCGGCCACATCATCCACTCCAAACCTAGGCAGTGGGAGGGGCATTGACGAAGCAATTTGGCATCAAATCAGTATCGACATTCCGAGGACCAACCCACATATACCCCTATACGCTTATGATGCGACACAGCGGTCCTTGGAACGAATCCTATATGTTTGGGCAATTCGACACCCTGCAAGTGGATATGTTCAAGGAATAAATGACCTTGTTACCCCTTTCTGGCAAGTTTTTCTGGGTTCATATATCACTGATTCTGATATTGAACAAGGTATGGATCCAGGGCAGCTGCCACAGCCAGTGATCAACGCTGTAGAAGCCGACTCGTTCTGGTGTTTAACAAAACTTCTTGATGGCATCCAAGATAATTATATTTACGCACAGCCTGGGATACACAGGCAGGTTAATGCGCTTCATGACCTTACGAGACGCATTGATTCCGCACTCACCAAACACTTCGAGAACGAGAGCGTCGAGTTTATGCAATTCAGTTTTCGGTGGATGAACTGTCTGCTCATGCGTGAAATTAGTATCAAAAATACAATAAGGATGTGGGACACATACATGGTAGAGTACCCCAGAGCCCAATCACGGGTAATTATACTAACTCTCTTCAAGGCGGAGGAACAGGGGTTTTCGCGGTTTCACTTGTATGTATGCGCTGCATTCCTTGTAAAGTGGTCGGAGCAGTTGCTCAAGATGGATTTCCAAGTTTGTATCACCCCTTGTCAAATCTTCCACAATACATACTGACCGTATTTGTAGGAGATTATGATGTTCCTCCAGGCACTCCCAACGCGCAACTGGACCGAAAAGGATATAGAGCTTCTCTTGAGCGAAGCGTTCATATGGCAAAGCTTGTTTCAAGATTCAAGCGCACATCTCAGATCTGATGGCACTGCAACAGAAAGACCAAGTTCAGCTGCGCCTTAACACTGGACAATAAACCCAGAATGCGTCCATGGGTGAACCAATCACTGTCTCCAGCTAGCTAAAGTGAATGCCCTTCTGGTTGAATGCCCACAAAAGCTTTAGAAATTCGCCTTCGTCACACATTCTGGCACGCTTATCCGCAAGCCCAGTATCATCTTCAAGGATTTGTCTGATTTTTTCTCGAACGAGAGATGTTACCTTTCCACGTTTTGTGGAAACGACTTTAGGTGCCGTCTGCTCTTTTTCGGTTTTAAAGAAATCAGGAACATCATCCTCGTCATCAACCTCCATCATTTCATCAACATCCTCCTCCACTTGGTTATCCTCTTCGGTTATCATCTGCTGATCGTCGTCTTGGAGGTCTGCATCAATCGGGATATTGTTTTGGGCACACCATGTGCAGTAGTTAGCTTCTAACATACTCACAACGCTGCTAGTTCCGAGGAAACTCGATCTCAACGTCTTGTTCTTCCTAACAAAAGCAATTCTGAGAAGGCCATCCCATTCTTCGTAGCTAATATCCGGTCGCGGTACTTTGGGGACAATGCGAACCACACTAGACTCAACAGCGGGTGGCGGTTTGAAGTTGTTTTTGCCCACTTTCATTATGTGATCAATTTTTGCCCACATTTGAGCATTCACCGATAGACGGCTGTACAGCTTGTCCCCAGGCTTCGCGAAGAGTCGCATGGCAAATTCACGCTGGAACATGAGAATACATACTCTGGGGGCTGGAGTCGTAGCAAGTAGCTTAAACGTCAACGGGGATGAGATCTGTTTGTATCAGTTAGACACGGGTATTTCCCATGAAAGCCAGAAATATAGAAAGCCGTACCTGATATGGAGTATTGCTTATACAGACATCGAAGTAGGGGACCTCCGTCTTCATCACATCCCCCAGCAAGACTTCAAGTCTCTTTTGCTCCGGTTTTCCTTGCACACGCTTGGTAAGCTCGGCAGCCATTCTAGGATCTAATTCCACGGCGATGACCTTTTTGGCCTTCTCTAGGATTTTGACTGTCAAGTTACCCGAACCAGGGCCAACTTCTAATACCGTCTACAGGTTCCAGTTTAGCTAACGCTCTAGTCAACCGGTACGGGGGGCAACCTACATCACTCTGTTTTAGATCTGCCTTGTCCACGATGGCCTGAGCGACTCCAGGGTTTTTCAGGACGTGTTGGCCTATGTCTGTGTTCATGCGAAATATATTGTGGGCTGCCTTCGTTTTGGCCACGGCTTGCGCATACGGACTGCTCGCCTGCGCAGCATTATTGCGTTTCCCTTGCTTTATCTTGGGCATCTTGATATTACCCGAGAGCTATTTCTTGTTTATTCCAATGGTGCCGTTTCTAAGACCTAATCCCTTCTTCAAATAATTGTGGTGTTTATTGAGAAAAATAATCGAATAAACCACAAAAAAAAAAAAAAAAAAAGAAAAAGAAAAGAAAAAAAAAAAGATAAAACGGCGGAAATATATTCTTCCAGCGTCTATCAAAAATCAAAATCGGCCCGTCGACACGTCGACCTTGAAGTCTCCAAGCTGTGAGAACATCACCATCTTTCTGGCAGTATACCGGTCTATAGACAATGTCAGGGCGCAAAGATTTTCTAAGCCAGCCGGCGCCCGAGAATTATGTTGCTGGACTTGGCCGCGGTGCAACTGGATTCACCACGCGGTCCGACCTTGGCCCAGCTCGAGAGGGCCCTACGCCAGAGCAGATACAGGAAGCTCTGGCAAAGCGGGCTGCATTGCTAGGAACTGCGCCTCCGACTGCATATGGTGCTTCGACACGAGGAGAGAAAGGTGGAAAAGCTGAAAAGGAGGAAGAAGATGATGACCGATATCAAGACCCGGAGGATGAAACCGGCCTTTTCGCCTATGGCCAGTATGACCGGGATGACGATGAGGCTGATCAAGTATACCAGGCCGTCGATGAGAAAATGGACAAAAGGCGCAAAGCAAGAAGGTAGGCTTAATTCTTCGCTCTATCTCTGTGGTGAACTTGTACAAGAACCAATTAGTTTATCTTGTCCTAGACCCTCCCCGTTTTGAGCAGATTGCCAACATCAGCCATATCGTGCTATTCTAGGGAAGCTCGAGAACGTCAAGAAATGGAAGAATACGAGAGTAAAAACCCGAAAATTCAGCAACAGTTTGCGGACCTCAAGCGGTCATTAGCCTCGGTCTCTGATGAGGATTGGGCGAATATCCCCGAAGTTGGAGATCTCACAGGCAAGAACCGGCGGGCCAGGCAAAATCTACGCCAAAGGTTTTACGCGGTACCAGACAGCGTCATAGCAAATGCGAGAGATTCAACGGAATTTACTACCACCATCAACGACGATGGAACAGAGTCGCACATTCCCCGAGGCGAAAATGCTGATGGCACAATTACCAATTTCGCAGATATAGGCGCGGCGAGAGATAAGGTGCTTCAAGTTAGGCTGGATCAAGCAGCCGAAGGGTCGAGCGGAGATGTTGCGTCTGGCAGTGCATCGTCAATCGATCCGAAGGGTTACTTGACGAGTTTGACGAAATCTGAGATGAAGGCCGGTGAGGTAGAGATTGGAGATATTAAACGTGTACGCACGCTTCTAGAGTCAGTGACAAAAACCAATCCAAAGCACTCTCCCGGATGGATCGCCATTGCTCGTCTAGAGGAGATCGCAGGCCGAATTGGAGCAGCGAGAAATTATATCGCCAGGGGTTGTGAACTTTGTCCAAAAAGTGAGGATGTCTGGTTAGAGAATATCCGACTCAACGACAATCATAATGCCAAAATTATCGCCGCGAACGCTATTAAAAACAACGACCGTTCAACGAGGCTCTGGATCGAGGCAATGAAGCTCGAATCTGACTCTCGAGCAAAAAAGAACGTCTTGAGACAGGCTATTCTCCATGTCCCTCAATCCGTTACTATCTGGAAGGAGGCCGTCAACCTAGAAGAGAACCCTGATGATGCACGTCTCTTACTCGCCAAAGCAACTGAAATGATCCCGCTCTCCGTAGAGCTATGGCTGGCGTTAGCGCGTTTAGAAACACCTGAGAACGCCCAAAAGGTCCTCAACGCAGCCCGAAAGGCCGTACCTACTAGCCGTGATATTTGGATTGCTGCAGCTCGGCTACAAGAGCAAATGGGAACAGCACACAAAGTGAACGTAATGAAAAGAGCCGTCCAGTCTCTGGCTAGAGATTCAGCCATGCCAAAAAGAGAGGAGTGGATCGGTGAGGCGGAAAAATGCGAGGAGGAGGATGCAATCCTTACCTGCAATGCTATTATTAGGGAAACATTGGGATGGGGCCTCGATGAGGACGATGACAGGAAGGATATCTGGATGGAAGATGCCAAAGGGAGTATTGCAAGGGGAAAATATGAAACTGCGAGGGCTATATATGCTTATGCACTCCGCATTTTTGTCAACAAGAAGTCAGTATGGCTCGCTGCTGCTGACCTAGAACGGAACCATGGCACCAAAGAAAGCCTCTGGCAACTTCTGGAAAAGGGCGTTGAAGCTTGCCCCCAATGTGAAGACTTGTGGATGCAGCTAGCCAAAGAGAAATGGCAAGCTGGCGAGATTGATAACACGCGGCGGGTGCTTGGGCGAGCATTTATCAGAATCCTACAACGAGATATTTGGCTTGCAGCAGTGAACTAGA